AGCAACAAATTTTTTTCTTTGGCAACTTTTTAGCAACAAATGAGCAACAAATAAATATATTAATTAGAATCGATTCTGCTCACTTTGTTCCGCTAACTTATAAGACGTGTTTTTAATTTTTAATATTGTACTTTTAATTATATTCACCTTATAGTCGATAATAACGTACCTAAACAAATAATCGCGATGAAGATACTGCGGATCGATATTAAATTCAAGATGTTGATTACTGAATCTCAAGCTACCGAGACTCAGTACGATTGCCTGCTGTACAGCCGCGGGACCTCCGGTCACTAGATGATGGCAACCTTGCTTTTCCAACGTTATCAACCATGCCTCGACTATCTCATTTACGGCGTCGATGGTCGACGTATCTTTCCATAACCGAGGCGCGTCCCTAAGCGAAAAAAAAATCATAATTATTACTTACGTGTAAATTATTTCAAACGGCAAACATAATTCCAATCATGCTTACATGGTGTGATGACCCCGGTAGCAACCTTCGTTCATAGCAACGTTTTTCTCGACATCTTGAACACTCCGCGACACCTGAGATAATACGTAATACATGGTGGAATTAATCTTGTGACCGTTGATGGCGCCGTCGGCTTTGGAATCACTTATTCTCAGACTCGTGTACCAATAACTCTGCCAGAGATTTATATGCTCCTCTCTCAGGCTTCGTTGCTGGCGCGAAATCGCCTTCTTCATCAGCTACACAACGAAGAATAATGATGCATATCTCTTCTTTCTGGGAAACGATAAATTCAAGAAATTAAAGATTCAAGAATTCCTCGTTTGCTTACATCGATAGCTCTCTTCTTAGTCGTGTCGCGTTCCACGTGATATTGCTCGAACGAGATTGGCTCGCTGTATTGAATGCTCGATAGAAATTCCAATTTGACGGAACTGCGTGCTTTCACCTGCACCGTTTTAGGCGGAACCTTGTAAATTATCGATACAACTATTATCTTGTTAGAGTTGGGCGCGGATATGAATCCAGACACGAAAGAGTAGTCGTGATTAAGCCCATCAACCTGAATTCTAACATTACAAAATAAATGACGACAAATTAAAAAATGCCCATATATTTTTATTTAATTATATTCAATTCTAACGCTATCGTATTACCTGATGGGTTCTATATGAGAATTACTCCAATGGGTAGATTCCTGCGGCTTCAATGATACTTCTTGAGATAGTGAAAATGGATTGGAGACCTTTACAGTCTGCACCAAAATTCCATCAAAACCTCTATGAGCATAGTATTGAAATTCTATGTGATATCCCTCTCTAAGGCACTGATATTTATAAACAATCCCGTTTGTAAAATGAACAACCGTTGCTTCTCGATAAGCGCTATCTTTGGGTATAGAATGTGAGATCAATGGTTGCCACTGTACAGGCAGCAAAAGCGCTCTCCTGTGTTTAATATACAGCCAGGCTTCCGGAGAAACAGGAACGCCAAAAACACCGTTGCCAATGTACGGCAGATAAGAATGCTCATTCTTCATAGGTGGGTTGTGCAGAATGTTTACGTTATACTCAACAGCATCAAAGTAGAAGCTAGCCAATCTCTCATTCATGCAATGATCTTCAAATGCTGCGGAAAAGTATACGTATTAGTACTTCTGTAATAATCGCTATAGAAAGATGTAAAGGCAATTCTTTATCACAGCAGAATATTCAACCAAAATATGTTTTGCATAATTTTGAAAATGTGAAAAACTGAAAAATACTTCACTCTATATGTCAGTTTATATTACAAGAATAATTGATAGAAATTTGAATCTTAATTTATCTAATTAATGTATTTATTTAAACAAACTATTTGGCAGAAGGGTTTAAAACTTGACCATTGATTAATGATATTAACATATGAAAAACCAATTGCATATTCAAATCAGAAAGTACTTGGATTGCGCCACCAACTATCAACTGATCTAGATCGTTGAAAAGATATTAGTTCTATTTATAAATATCTCCAGAGATTTCCAAAGAGGTTTTACACAGTTAATCATGATACTCCAATCATCTGAGCTAACAAAGCGCTTACTTTCTATGGGCTCCCTGGAAGAGGTAAAGAGCCACTGGGCAAAGGGTGGGCCGAAGTACAGCAGCAGGCCACCGCACACCAGAATGATCAGGAGGATCTTGCGATACGAGTAATTGCCGTCCAGGACACGACGCACGCGTTTGCCGAACTCGCGGCCGTCCAACATACCGCCGGTCCTCATCGTCGCGAGGGCGTTCGCGCGCCGGTGAAACGCGTATGCCCGAGCACTGTCACTGGTCCAGTCGTCCCACCGACGATCGTGGACATAACCTTATCGTCGAGGAAAAACGCTCCCGCGAATCACCAACGCCCAGCCACGTTTTCGTCCTGTCGCTTTCGAATCACGCGGCTCGGCACGCGCCCGGAATGTCAAGGTGCATCGTCAGGAGTCCCGTACTCGTACGCGATATAAACAAACTTGCACATCGGTGTAATCGACCGCATCAGCTACCTATAAGCGAACGGATCAGACGTTAGCAAGCAGTGGGACTTTGACATATGTAAATTCTGTGTGACTGGCAGGATTTCCGGTTTTGACCGTAATACAAAAATGACGATAGTTGCAACTTGCAACATATCCCTGACAGAAATATTTTACTGAAATGATCTCTCAATTGACCCCATTTCATTATTATTTCATAAGTTTCATGATATCTAAAAAGAAATTTTGTTATTACTTTTCAATAATATATATAATTTAACTTCCCTTGTATTTAACCATGTATTACACATTGCATTTCATAAGGAAAATTATTATTTATTTTGAAATCTATTCAGTAATTTTTCAATAACTTTCATATTTCACTTTTCATCGATTTCATACTTTCAGTAAAATATTTCCATCAAAGCCGCTAAAAATATGAAATTTTGATTTATTAAATTTCGATTTCGGATTTGCAATTAGCAACCGCAAAAACCCGCATATACTAAAATTCAGCAAACTCTTATATGTTCAACAGAAAAATTTGTGCAACAATTAAAGGGATAATCCGCCAAAGTATATTGCGTTTTGAAAGATCGAGCTTCGCATGGAACCGGGCGACGAGGCGCGACACGTCACTCCTGCCCCGCGACCTCAAAAATCGAACGCGTACAGTCCAGTTAACTCCAGATAATCCAGACTCCAGAGACTCCAGTGCGCTCAGGGAGCGCGCGACCAGACGATTGCGATCACGTCATTGAGTCGTCACCATCGACGTTACGGCACAACGACGACGGCGACGACGATGTCGCGTAACGTCGAGTATTAACGACGGCCACCGACGACAGCTGGCGGGGCGACGTCCGGCCGCGACGTCTTCCCCGCGACGACCACGTTCAAAACATCGACGTCGATATTCCCGATCGTCCTGCACCGACCGCGTAACTCTTGCCAGAAAGACACATGGCCATCCCGGACGTATATAATTAGGCGAGTTAAAAAGCGAGCATGTCTCGTTGCAACGTGAAGCACTTTCTCGAAGCGCACATCATAGGTTGAGCACGCATACACACATGGTCACCTCCGTAATTCCCAGTAAGCAAATGGCTCGTAGTAGTGTGACAACAGATTGGACAGCAGATTTACTCAGATATTACAACGGATCCGGTATTATTTGTTTCTGCATTTAAGCTCGTGTTTACCCGGCAGAGCCTGCCGATGTAATCTGACAGCGGATTGTCAGCAGAAACCGAACGGAATCTGTCATTTCGCAAGCATTTAAATGGAATGCGTCATTTAAATGGTTACAAAACAGCAGATTTTGCTCAGTTTCTGCAGTCAATTTGCCATTGTAATCCGTTATATTTCTGTTTGGTATTCTATCGACAAGATTTGTAGCAGACGCTCTTTCAAAATCTGTTCGCGACAGATTTGTCTATCCAGGATTATTGTCCAAATATTAAATTAACGGTATACTACTTAGACAAGAGAATATTATTTGATTTGTTAATATCACTTTATCAGTATATGTTAATTAAACTATTTTACATTTGGGCTATCAATTTTTTAACAATGTTTGTTAATCAAGAATGGAGAGTGTTGTTAGAGAGAGTGATGAATTAACTCATTACCTTTATTAAGTAACTTCGAAAGGTGCGAGGAATAAATAATGAAGATTTTAATTTCAATGATGCCATTATGATGATACGAATCGAAGGAGACACCTCAGTAGTATGTCAAAAGATTAAGTTTATTGTTTGAGTTCTTTATACAGTGACAAGGATTGCGATAAGCCTGTTTGTAATGTGAAGAAATGTAGTCTTGGGTAATCGCTGCACGTGTTTCCAATCTCGATTAACAAAGTTTTAAATATTTATCTTGAACATTATTTTAATGTAATAATTTATGATGGACAGTAATACCTCATAATTTATTGAACCTGTTTATTCTAGTCATTAAACTTGGTTCAAATATATGGTGAACTACTGTTTTACAGTTAATTTACAGTTAATTACTTTAAAAATATGTATTCTACTTACAATTAGACAAGAGAATATTCTTTAGTTTGTTAATATTACTTTACCAATGTACATTGATTGAACTATTTTAAACTTGGGCTATCAATTTTTTAGTTTATTCCGTTTGATTGCTGTAATCAAATATATGGTGAACCCCTAAAATCGATGATATGAATTGCAATTAATGCACGAAGGACTGGCAATATGCAAGAATCATGATAACTAAAGATTCATCCTGAAATATTATACTTATTTGGACAAGGACCAATACAGAATACAGTGGCAATATGTTTGGTTGTCCTAGAGAGGCTGTACGTGTCAAAGTTAAGGTATGTATGACCAATCGCAGAAATTTCCAATTGCCAAATACACTTTTACTTTATTTTAATAACTACTATTATATTATATATTTAATTACTATTTTAATAATTTAATATGACATATCTACTCTATATTTCATTGAGCATAGAAATATAAAATAGAACAGCGAATTATAATGGCAACTATTCAGGATATTTCAGATTTTACACCATGACAGTCTCTTAAGAAAGGTCATTTCAGGATAAAAATCCTAATATCAAAATATTATACCAATGTATAATAATATATGTAATAACTATAATAGTTTTTGAAAAGTGTTTAAAATTGATCAATCAAATTGTCCGAAATTCGCACGCTCAGGTATGATACATTGCAGCAGTGAAGATATGAGAGTCGTCATTTATTTATTTACTCTTATACATGTGACAGCTTTGACAGTTTGATATGTATCGCGTTTCAATACCCATACTCATGCTTTTTATTTTGCTACTATTATTATTAAGATGGTCAATGTATTAATTAATTAGTAATCCGCATATTAATGTAATAAAATCAAGAAGTAATTCTAACAATAATGTATGCAGAATATGAACCACATTATATCAAGAATAGGATTGATGATTGAGAACATCTTATTCTGTAGAATCGTGCCTCAGCGGCGTAACTCTCGAATATACCTTGATTCGTCAATTTTAAACACTTCTCATTTAGAAACCATTATTAGCTTTGATATTTTTGATACTGTTATTTCAAAGTGACCTCGAAAGTCTGCTATTGACTATTGTCACGTAAAGTCTGAGACATTCTGTATAACATGTTATATAACTATGGCTACGGTCAACGTGACGCTACAAATGCTTTGGAGCGTTCTTCTTCTCTTTCTTTCTTCATTGAAAGAAAAGAGAAGAGGAATGCTTCGAAGCATTTGCAGCGTCACGTTGACCGTGGCCTATATCGATTATTGTATAAGATCACCATTAATATGATAAATTAATTACAATAAAACATAATTATGTCATATGATTGTGTACAAATTTTCTGTGCCTTTACAATATCTACTTACAATGTCTCACTGTATGTGAACATGGAGTTAACGAAGGACAATAACAGAAATACCCCTTTTTTTTTCAGAAGTGTGAAACTAGGCATCAACCTGAATACCGCAAGTTCAGCGTGGATCCTCAGATAACGTCAATAGAAGTGTTGCAAAGTATTCTTATAAAGGCTTTTGACATAAAAGGGTGAGTCATATTAATAATAATAAAATTTATTAATGTGATTTAACAGTTTGAATGACGAGTGTTCGTAAAAATTTGTGCGAAAAATGCCAAGTAGCACGTTCACGTTTCTCCTGTTTCATGTTGAAAAGTATCGTGATAAGTAAAAATAAAATTTGCTACATGTATAGTTTTTTTATTTATTTCTAATAAATTAAATTAAGTTCTCAGAATTGCGATAGAAGCTAAACGCATTATCAGCGTACTACGGTACTCGTCAGCACTTTTTGATATAAAAAATAAATAGTGTGCGTTGCGTGTGACGTTAAAATAATATGTTACATTTATCAGTTAAGCTTTTAAGATAATTTTTATATTAAAAAATACAATTCTCATTAATATATACCTATCTCGGTTTGTGTTTAAATACATAATATTGGAAAAAATATTCTATATTTTAATAATTTAATTCTTCCTTCTCTTTTTACTCGTGATAATATGATTAGATAATGTGATATAGATGATATACGCGTGCTATTTTCCGTCACTCAAATCATTATAGCAACATGAAACAGCACAAAACGGTTACTCGAGGCAAATGCATGTGCAAATATCCTTGAATTTATCGAAGCGTGCCATAAAATATTAAGCAGATTGCCGTAAAATTCGCTCGCGTGCCGTAGGGAGTTTACCGTTTCGTATCGAGCGATTGATGACTATGGGTCGGAGACGTATCTCTTCCTACTCTCGGACTGGGACTTGGACGCCGCGTTTATCAGGTGACCAACTGATTAATTCCGACTAATAGATAAAACAGATATAATATACTCTGATAACCATAGTTTAACACAATATCTTTCAGCGCGTCGGAGCCGTACCTTTATCTACAGGTGAACCTGAAACCTTTTGGCGAAACCGGAGACTGCGAGTGCTACTGGGAGCAAAATGCGCAGGAAGTTTCGACACGTCAGCAGGAGACTGGGTTTCCTTACAGGACACCTAAGTTGCCCGGTCTCATAATGAATAAAGTAAGTGCCGTCGCGCCTTCAGTGATGATCAGCAGTCGCAGAAGGCAGCATTGAAAGTTTCACAAACGCCTAGTTTTTTCTTCTGCAAAAATGTCGAAGAAAAGGACAAAACATGGAAAATTAACTAAACCCTTAGTGCATATTTTTTATTTAGTTAAAAGTCGCGTATGAATCTTTTCATTTCAATTAAAATTACCTTAGTTTTTTTATTTTTTATTTTTTTTATATTATTTTTGTAATTATTAATTCCTCTATTATTTTTTATTATTACTTTTATTATTTTATTATTTTTATTTTTATGATTATTATTACAGTTATCAGGTGTATCCAATTTCGCGTTTAATCTTTCGTCACAGATGGAAAGAACGCTGAATATGGTGCAACGTGCATTGGGCAATTTGGGCGAGGAGTCGTCTCATCAGCAGAATGTTCATCCTCCAAGACCGCCTCTAACGGACGCTGAGTTTCGCCGATTTCTAGATCCAATCGGGCAAGTGGTACACTCCAAGGAATTGAGAGCAGTTATTTACTTTGGCGGGATTGAACCTAGCTTGCGCAAGGTGGTCTGGAAACATATCTTGAACGTGTATCCGGAGGGGATGTCGGGTCGCGAACGGATGGACTACATGAAGAAAAAAGCGCAGGAATATCAGAATCTGCGCGAGCGGTGGCGGGTGCTGGTACAAAAGGGACAGAACGTCGGCGATCTCGGCTACGTTACCAGTATGGTGAGGAAGGACGTCCTCAGAACGGACAGGCATCACAAGTTTTACGGTGGTTCGGACGACAATCAAAATATAGCGAGCCTCTTCAACATTTTGACAACGTATGCCTTAAATCATCCGAGTGTAAGTTACTGCCAGGGCATGAGTGACTTAGCCTCGCCCCTTCTTGTCACAATGCGGGATGAAGCACAGTCCTACATCTGCCTCTGCGCCCTCATGAGAAGATTGAAAGACAACTTTATGCTCGACGGTATCGCCATGACTACTAAATTCGCTCATCTAGCCGAAGGTAGATAATCATTAAAAATGTCTCTCGCAATTTATTTAGTCCCCAAGTTTTCAGTTTCGTTTATAATGCCCTACAATCTGTACATTTCCTTCTTAATAGAATAATATATCATTATATTGGTACTAACTAAGATATATTTCCTTGTAGGTCTTCAACACTATGACCCCGATTTCTATGCGTACTTGAAGTCCCATCAAGCGGACGATCTGCTCTTTTGTTACCGTTGGTTGTTGCTAGAAATGAAACGCGAGTTTGCATTGGACGACGCGCTTAGAATGCTCGAAGTTCTATGGGCGGCTCTGCCAGCATCACCGCCGACCGGCGAACTGAGTCTTGCCGAGGTGCCTTTTCCGCCAGCGTCGCCGCCACCGAGTCCGAACGTGAAGCACATCCGCGAAAATGCGTATACCAAGGTCTGTGCTATTAGACGGCAAAGTTCCTCGGCTAGTATTGCCGCCAGCGTGAGGCGGAAAGCCTTTAGCACTGAGGAATCGACTCTGCAAACATCTACCGAGGTTAACGGAGAAACGAAAAGGTTTCTTATTTGCACAATTGCCCGTACTTGAAACTATTTTTTGAAAATTCGCTTTTTGAATAAAATGTAAAAATTAGTTAAGTTTGTGGGAGACGTAGATAAAGAAATATAAACGAAGAATATAGATAAATACCAATACAATTCTCTTCTTTATTTCTCTTTTACATTGTTGATTGAAGTTTTAAACGGCAACTTTAATTCTTCTAATCAAATACTCATTTTTAGATCCAACTCGCCGTATGAAGCATTCTCCGATTCAGAGAATGATTTGACCAGCACGAAAAATAGAAGGAATAACGAATCGACAGAAAAGTGCCTAAGTACAGATTCTCTTACTGTTAAATCGAAACGCTCGAATCTACTGGAACTGAAAGAGAAGCTGTCTGCCCCCAACAAAGAACAGATTAAGAACAGTGAACAGAACGACAACTCTGAAAAGAAATGTGCGCGAGTGGTGAAGAATTTGAATGAGTTCTTAAACTTTACTAGTCTTAATCGTAGTAAAGTCACGCCGAGCGACGCCGAACCTGAGCTCAGGTAATTACCTTTGCAGAAAGTACTTCTAAATTGAGATATTCGTGCAAATCGTATTTCGCAAGGTTAGGCGATTCGAAAATATTATATTTCGTTATCGCAGACGTGTCTCGAGCGAAAGCGGCGTCATCAGAGTGTTGAGGGATGAACCGAGTTCACCGGATGATCCTACGGATTTCTTTCCGATGACCACGTCGATGACCAGAGAGTTAAGACTGGAATTGGAATCGCTGGATCGACAAGTGTTCGGACCTTCACCGCCTACAAGCGAGCTACAATGCGACTGCGTGCTATCAAAAAGAGACAGTGACCTACCGGAGAGCGAGACGGAGACGGAATTAGCGAGATGCAGCCCAGCGGCGGATGTGTTTGTATGGGAGAACCCTTTACATACGCTACAACAGAAGCATCATCCCACGACTCCGGACGAGCAAGCGGAATTAGAGTACGACGGAGAAATTTTGGAAGATCAGAACGGCGTAAAATCTGTCACGCCGATTAGGCTGCTTAAACGTACCACTAGGTACGTACTTCTATCCGTAAAAATTTGAAAATTTTAACGAACAAAATTCAAGGAATGAACTTTTTGCAAAGATAGTTTAGTTGCTCGGAAATCTAAATTAAATGCCACTTTGATATAGCTTTCTGGTAAAGAAATTTTTACATTCTTTCTTTACTTTTCTTATCTAACTTCAAATTATCTATATCTTTATTTATATGTATCGCTTTTATGTTCCAATATACGGCATAATAATCTTACATCGTAGCTGTGGCAAAACAAGTCATACTTTCACACAAGTGCAAAGTCAAAATCCTATCGGCATCATTAAAGTTTTAAAGAGATTAATATCGGACCTAATATAGAAAGCAAAAGTATGTGTATTTTGTTATATATTTTTTATTAAAGCACTTTGTTTATCTTTTAGATCTGAGTCGGCATCAGATAGCGAAGAGACCGAGAGTTGGCATCAGAATCCACATGTATCAGAGAGTCCGACGAAGCAGCAGCAGCAGCAGCAGCAACAGCAGCAGCAACAACAACAACAACAGCAATCTGTACAAGAGCAATGTGAGGAAGCGACGGAGCTGACTAATCTCATACCCGCGGGAACGAGTGAGGATCAACTGGGAGAAAGCTCGTTGCCGCCACCGAACGAGTTCGGCGGCGGCAATCCCTTTCTAATGTTCCTGTGCATCACCCTTCTGCTGCAACATCGAGACTTCGTTATGCGCAATCAAATGGATTACAACGAGATGGCAATGCATTTCGACAAGATGGTTCGCCGTCACAATGTGATCCGTGTACTTAATCAGGCGCGACAACTGTTCGCCGGCTATCTCAGAAGACATTCCATCGCCACATCCTCCTCCTCGGCCAGCTCGACTTCCGCCAGCAAGCCGGACTGCGTGAACGTGTAACTCTTTCTCGGTCAAATTAAAAAAAAAAAGCATCAAGTCATAGACGACCTGGAATTTTAAAATTATTTCATTTGAAATAAAAAGAATTCAACGGCACATATCACGGAAATTATGTCGCCGACTAAGATTCGGAAGGCTTAAGAGGACTCAAAATTCTATCGCGGCTCTTCCGTTCATAACGTTCGTAGGACATTTATGACACTCGCCGTGGATTTTCCGCAGTCGTATCGCGCGAGCAGTGTCTCTGATTAACCATTTTTTCTTTTGTTTTTTTCATATATATATATAGATATTATAGATAAGATATACTTTTCAAATAATTGAATTAAGGTCATCCGCTGTAGGCATTGAAAATATCAAAGAAATCTAAACGCGACAACGAATAAATGACCAATGTATAATGCGAGAGCAATAAAACGCAACGTTACTTACAATTATATGTATAGAAATTTTAGAACTTCTTTTCTTCGTAAGAACAATTTTTCAAGAAAGGTCAAAATGAAGAAAAAAGACGGTTGATCAGAGGTAGCACCGCCTAGGTCCGTACTTATTAGCAATTAGAACGAGTCGATTTGATTGGGAGAGTTCGGGATACAACGATCGGAAGCTTAATCCGTGAATGGCACGCGTAGCCCCGTTCGCTCACGCACGTTATTCCATCGCGACATAATGCACCCTATCATCAACACGCATCGACAAACCCTCTTTCGCTGTACCTCGAGGTAGAATTAAGTCCTTAGCTTAACGCATTTGGGTGACGACCGCTTCGTTCTCGACATGCGTTAAATTTGTAAGATACACCTATACCTATCCTAACAGCTGAGTCTTACTTTGTTCTCAAACGGTATGCTTGAGAAACGACAATAAAGTGCATTTAATTTTATCGCTGACCAATGAACTTTCATTGATTCTGGACCCGAAGTTACGAGGACATTTTAAGTTGGGAAAGACTCCGGCGTATTTTAACAATCAAACAGTTTTTATTCGTTGAATAATTAAGTGCATTTCAGTTTGGAGTAATATCTACATCGTTTAAGCAATGTTAAATTACTAAAGGTATATCTCGCAAGAATAAATTTTTTCTTTACTAATAAGGGCCAATTTCACCAACCACAGTTAGCTTAACCGACGGTTAAAGTTAGCAGGATTGACCAATAGAAAGCAGGGTGGATTCATTTCTATTGGTCAATTCTGTTAACTTTAACCATCGGTTAAGCTAACTATGGTTGGTGAAATTGGCCCTAATTGATGATACGATATAGAGGACATGTAGACATGTAACAATTAGTAATCAATTCTAAGATTTATTCTTTATAGTTATATCTTACATGTTTGTTTCCTTTTTAAAATATAAGTTTTCTTTAAAGTTAGTTTATTTTATCTTGCATGTAATTAAAAATTTATGTAATATACAGGGATGTAACAACGCGTTTCCAACCCCAGGTCTATTTGCAAAAAAAATAATCTTTATAGTGCCCCCGACAATCTTTGAAAGTTTGTCGGTTGAATTTTCGAACGCTCTGTATAATAATACGAATGGAATATCACTTTTATAATGGTAGAAAATTAAAAGGCTAGTGGATTAATAATATCGTTTGTAAAAATGATAAAATTTCCACTTGTAAAAGCAATGTAAAACAAATTAAACTCAATATTTGCAGTAGATAAGCAATATCCTATTGTCTATCACAAACAAACTATTTTCTCAGAACTTTTTTTTGTTAATGAAAAATCGCAACTTTTCCCGAAAGAGAAATAGACAAATTTCCCGACAAATTTATCAAACAAATTTTATAAAAAAGGTAAGTGACACCTCATTGATTGATTATTCATGATAAAGATTTTATATTACAATTATCATAAATTTCATGGTTTAACCCTAGAATCCATGACTGGGGTCGATTTCGACCCCAGGCGAACTTTGAACTACGCTCCTGAGCTAGCGAGTGACATTATCGACTCAGGACCTGAACCATAATTCATTTCAACTTTCTAAAAGTAGGGTTATGTCGGGCGCAGCGTTAGGGCCAAAGCACATAACATGGCGTAGCGATATACGACGGTCGTAGTCCTCGACCTGACAAATCAAGATACGCCAAAGCTTGTGCGTTACTTACGTCCACGACTACGACTGTCATATGTGCTTTGGCCCTTAGTTGTTCGCTAGCAGTGAAGTAGCACAGTCGTAAAGCGGGCGTGGGGTCGATATCGACCCCAGTCGTGACTTGCCGTTTGAGTTTCGTCACGGTAAGCTAATTTTATTTTTTCGCTAGAATCAATATATATCATGTATTATTACGTAATCTGAGCATAAATAGTCATAAATATTATTTAAGACGAAATATCACACAATTTAGTCGGTAAAAATCCCGTTGCCTAAGAAGATTGACATTTCGCAGAAAATGGCTGGGCGATATAATGTTTCATTTTTTTCATATTTTTTACTATTTTGTATCAAATAAAAATGAAATAATACTTAAAATACAATTTTTTATGGTTTTTTCATCGACTTTTTCCGTATTTCAACTTTGCGAATTTCTTCATCTTTATAGTCCCAAATAAATATACTTTTTGAACAGAACATAGCGATGACAATTTTTTTCTAATAGTCTAATGTGTCCTCTTTAAAACCCCGTTTGAAATTTTAAAATCGGTTGATTACAAAAAAAGATACAAATTTTTGTTTAAAAAAAGAGGTTTTTGCTGATTTTCTGCGTTTTTCAGTCTTTAAATGGATTTTTCACTAACTAAACTTGAGTAAAATTAAATTTACCGTATACCATTCTCTTCGTTATTAAAAAACGAAGAAATTCATGTAGGTTTAAAGGCCCTTTATTTCTGTAGGACCGGTTTTACGATCAAATAAAGCGTGGGGTCGATATTGCCCCCAGTCATGGATTAGAAGGTCAAAAAAATGTATCATGGATTCTAGGGTTAATTGAAAATATTTGTTTCTAGTACTTTTTGTTTTATAACGCATTATTTCAATATTTTCAATTGTTCCCTCGCTTTCATATCGATTACAATCGATAGGAACATTCGAGAAATTTCAAAGACGTGTCACGTGCACGCGCGATTATTCTCGATCCTCTCGTACTTGTGCATTCATAAGTTCGTAGTTGTGCGCTGCGCATTCGCATTCTCGCATGCGCCGTTCAGCCGCTTTGACCTGTGTTCAGCGTGCGCCGTGAAACAATCTTGTCATTATTGCATCATGTAAGTAAATCACAAGAATTTTTGCCAATATGTGATCTCCCTAACGAGCGATCCCTCCGACCGTCCGAGCCTTCAAAATTTCGTCGTGAGACAGTCCTATGTAAACGGGAATTCGTCGTTACGATAACGTAGGACGATCATTTGACGTGTCTCTGTTTCGTCCGCAGAACTGTTTTGGAAACTGCGAAGGAGCGAGGATTGAAGGTACGAGATGTTGGCAGCGAGAATCTGCCGGGCCGGTTTCTCACCGGGATTGGCGTCGCTCGTCCGGGCTCCGATCGTCCCGACGACGCCGCAGTTCTCCAAGGGTCAGGTCGTGAGATTGTTCGTCAACGATGGGCGCAACTCTTACACGAGGACCGCGAGGAGGAGAGCCACTGTGGCCGAACAAGCGATGGCTCCGGCCGGCGAAACGGGTAAGTCAAATATTTGTATAATATTTGTATGAAATTGTTGCCACGTGTATACGTAAGACTGGCCGGACTGGCGTGACTTGAAACAAATCGTCGAGAATGTATCGACCCGTTGCCTCATATGTTTATACAGTTTTGTTTCAAGAACAAGAACAATAAGAGCAAAACGCCGATGTTAAAGCAAAAGAAATAAAAAAGTAACATAAAAACAAATTACAGGTGTCTTAAGGTTTGGACCTTCTTTAGTATAACAACTAGAAATACAGTTATAATCTTAACCCTATTCACTCCAACGTTTTTTTCGCCCCAATAATCTTCCAACCATGCACTTTCGAGTCCCACGTGTTTTTTATAATGTTAATAGCTTTGAAAAATTCCCCAAAAATTATTATAATATCTTTGTACCTTCGACTAAAAATCAATGTAAAGAACATTTAAAAATCATTTATTTAAATATTTTTTTATAACAATTATATGTTGACAAACACACGTTACGACTCGTTTTACTTAAAAAATCATAACTCACGAACAAATTGACGAAGCTTAATGAACCAAAACGCAAATTAAAGCTAAAAGTAGCGCAAATGAGAAAAAAAATATGAGATAATTATTAATTAAATAGGAATACTTAATTTCGTCGCCGCAAATTTGGTAATTTTTAAATAGTACAGAAGGACTTTAAGGACTTAAAGAATGCTAGAAAAAGAATTTCTGAATAAGAAAAGGCGAATTTGAAGTGTGACAGATATTTTTTATGTAAAAAAATTAATTTTTTTTATATAATCGTAGCTCCTCCCCACCTCTTCCACCTGCCTCTGAGCCATAATAGACCTCTGTGGAATGTTAAATTTCTTTTTTAACGATAAAAATATTTTAAATACGGTTAAATTATACACAAAAATACATTTTTATCGAAAAAAATGCTCATTTACCTTTCACACAACACTGACGTAATCCTCCAACCATGCACTTTCATGTCCCACCGAGATTTTGATTGTTCCCCGTTTCGAGAGTATAAATGAGCTAGGACTTTGAAATTTTTACCTGAGGTTCCCTGCCACAATAACTTTTTTCCGGCGTGGAGGGGATTCTCCCACGATCATTTGTTTTCCGGAACAAACGACTGTTAGAAATTCGTGGGACACGAAAGGCATGGTTGGAGCGAATAGGGTTAAAACGAATTATCAACAATGCATATATAATAGTGAAAAGTAGTCATGTTCTTTAAGCCAGTTGTCAGTCGCAAAGTTGGTTAAAAATATCAACTAATGGCATATCACGAAATTGACCGCAAACAGTCAACCTCGCAACAGTCATCTCGCAACAGTGTCAATGTTTGATAAGAGATAATACTTCAATAAGACCAGCGCAACAACATTGATCTTATTTGCCTTATGTTTTAGTTTTGTTTCAATACATGACTGATATGTTGTTTTGCAGCGTTTAATGTTGGGAAAGCAGCAGTTGCTGGAGGAGCGGTGATGGGATTGGGTGGTCTTTGTTATTATGGATTAGGTCTGTCTTCGCGAACAGGCGCCATAGATCACGCACAGTAAGCAACTTGTTTTTCTCTTTCTAAAATTTCTGAAGGCCATTCTACAATAGCGTAAACGTAGTTGTAAGTGGTTGTAGGCGTAGTTGTAAAGTAGTACTACCGTTTGTAAAGCGTGTTGTGGAAGATGGTTAAATTTCATCTTTCACGACTACGAAGATGTAAAACGTAAGAGCTAACCAATCGAGTGCTATTATTCACGTGACCACGCCGCTATCATTCTTTTGGTCGAAATAGAAATATAAACGTGAAAACATTTTGTACAACACTTACGACTACTACTACTCCTACAACCCTACACCTACGTTTACGCTATTGTAGAATAGTCGCCTACAACTTTCAAATGCACATGCGTAGAGTTTTAATACTATTTATAGCGATATGAGAACAATATGCAATTTATTTGTATTACCAATTTTTATCGAATTCAATTGCTACTTGATACAAGATGACTATAAGATCAAAATAAAACATAGAATTTTTCCCTTTACAGGTTGTGGCCTCAATATGTCAAAGACAGAGTGAAATCCACTTACGCGTACTTTGGTGCGTCCATCGCGGCCAGTGCAGCGTCCGCGGCTATGTGCCTGCGATCTCCCGCTGTTATGAACATGGTGATGCGTCAGGGATGGGTCGCTATAGGTGTATCGCTGGCTGCGATGATCGGCAGTGGCATGATTGTACAGGGACTATCATACAAGGAAGGATTTAATAGCAAACATATAGCTTGGCTAGTACACACCGGCATCTTGGGCGCAGTTGTGGCGCCGTTGACTCTCTTGGGTGGACCATTGGTCCTCCGAGCGGCTTGGTACACCGCCGGAATAGTCGGTGGCTTGTCAGCGATTGCCGTTTGCGCGCCCAACGATAAGTTCCTGGCAATGGGTGGTCCGCTCGCTATTGGTTTAGGCGTGGTGTTCGCCAGCTCGCTCGGTTCCATGTTCCTTCCACCTACGACCGTTCTTGGATCCGGACTGTATTCCGTAGCTCTTTACGGTGGTCTTCTATTGTTCTCGGGATTCCTACTTTATGACACGCAGAAGATCATCAAGCAGGCGGAAACTTATCCAGTATACAACGTTGATAGGCCATACGATCCAATTAATAAGTAAGTACTCGAAAAGAAAGAGATAGAAAGGGAGGATAATCTTGAACAGGATTGTTAAAAACAAGAGGAGTTATTTTTTTCTCGTAGAAAAATATTAACACTATACAGACTGGATAGTTGCGCGATTAATTTTCACCAGTGGCCAATTCTTTATCCAAGAATTGACAAGAAATTATTTTTACTATATAATATATATCTAAAAGAAAATCAATAACTGTGAATATCTGAAAAGTAAGAAGGTTAAATCAACTAATAAATAAATAAATATATTTATTTATACACGCCAATGTGGCGTCAGCCGCGTTAACAGTCGACACATAAATGACGTCAATGTGATGTCATTGACCATTAAAATTTAATAAAAGCGTGTTACAAGAAAATTGGATAATGTAATATTTTGCATTACAATTTTAAGTAATTTTTCTTTCCGAAATTGAATTTTGAGTTTATTAAGTAATTTTTTTTAATATAAAATAATCTGTTTTTTTTTTTTATCTACGATTATTTATATAATAATTTACGAAATATGAAGGTGCTAGCACAAAGTATTTATTATATTTAAGAATTATTTTAATATATAATTTTAATAATATATTTATAATTTTAGTAATATACTTTTAATAATATTTCTATTCTTGCAGTGCAATCTCGATTTACCTGGATACATTGAACATCTTCGTGCGAGTTCTCACCATACTGGCTGGTGGTGGTAATAGACGTAAATAGAGGAATAGAACGTAATAATTTAATAATGTAACATTAGGATCAAAGTAACTTTAAATTATACATGTATCGCATACATATTTCAACTTGATCATAATACTTGCTTTAATAAGAATAAATTGTACAGTCTTAAACTAGTATAAATAAATTTAAACGTTTTATTACTGCGCCTCTATACTTACGCATACATAAATATTTTTGAAACTTTATGAAAAGTTACTATATCGTATACTGTAATATTAAAAGCGACTGTTTGCAATCTCGTGCCTTGCCAAAAACAGTCACGCATTATTTAAAATACTGAATTTTCATTTTACGCTTGAATTTTATCCCGCTACTAAAAAATATATAACAAACATTTCCAATTAAACAATTTTTATTAGAATGCTTGAATAAATATCAGTTTTTATTAGAATGCTTGAATGAATATTTCTATAACTAGCGCCAAACGTGATCGTTCAGCTGAGTTGTACCTGTCTAGTACGAAGATAACTCGACGTACAGCTTATATTGAACGCCGAATCTATCTAAATGTGAAACCGCATCGAATTTGTCGGTACCCTTGTTATTAATTCATACACGGCGAGAGGCAAAATTACGATGAGCGCTGCGAGGTGTCGGCCGTCGACTCCCACCGTCCCAAATCAAGATCGACCACCGGGTCGATAATTGGCAAGTTTCTCTCTTTCTCTCTTTCTCTCTCTCGGTAGCGAAATCACGTCGCGAAGCGGAGAAGAGGATAAATCGAGTCAGCAACCCCCGCAACGAGGAGGGGTTTGCGCGTGCGTCCCCGTCTTCCGTCGTCGCGAAGGGTGAAACTGATGCGCGACGCACGAGGGAGAGGAACGGAGACGGAGATGTTGGTTGGAACGAGAGAGTGGTAATCATCGAATGGGAAAGGGAGAAAAAGAGAGGGACATTGAACGCCAACACCGTAGCCTCGCAGTCTCCTCTCGCTCGCGCTGCGCCGCACGGAGACCCCGTCGCTGCGTTTCCTTTTGTATTTTTGCGTCAGCCAAGTTGCCAGCGTGGTGCCCGACCGTCTCCTCGCTCGCTCGCCGAGCGCATTTCCGAGTGTTGTAAGCTCAGTGCGTCTCCCAGCGACGGATGCGGGACTCCTGTTAGGCCAACGCTCGAAAGGACACCGGACAGCGAAGAGACTCTCCTGCGTCTTGCGGGAGGAGAGACGTCGGTGACCTGTCGATTTGAAGGTGTGAGTGAATTGAACGGTATCGCCTATGGGGGTGCGCGATTCCACATGAACGCATCGATAATACTTGAGCGTCCCAGCTAGCAGAAGCTTCTAAAAGACGTCTAAAGGACGTCTGAAAAATTTTATCGTCTTTTAGACGTCTTTGCGATGTCTTTAAGACGTTTTTTATAACTTTCTGCTAGCTGGGGTACGAATTATCTTTCGAAAACTCGACGGGGGATGAAAATCGCGAGCCTGCGGGAAAATATCTAGGGAATCGATCGGAGAACCAACCACCTAATTAATAAGTACATCTTTTCACGAGCAAAATGTTGCCACGTTGCAACGTATTTTTTAGGAAGGAGGACGCTCTTCTAAAAATAAACCGTTATTCTCTCTGAATAAGGCGATATTATCGAAAGATGCAGAGGAGAATATTAGATTTTTTTCAATTTTCTCTGAGGGACGATGTAAACCATGGAATTACGGCGAAACGAATCGATGTAATAAGAGTAATGTAATAATCTGTAATTGTCACTCGAGTAACCTTGCAACACTGTTTACTATGGAAGATTATAATGAACAAGTCAGTGAGGATTACATGTCAATTTGAATGAGCCATATAATGGAAACTGTCGGGTAACTGGAACAACGTATTGATCTCTCAATAACGTCAATAGCTATTCTAAAATCATGAACGGACGAGACTCGAGATACCAAGCAAGCTAAGCATGGCATTCATCTAGCAAAGGATCATAAAATAATTTTCATTATTTGTATTTATTTTTAAGTTATAATATGGAGAGAGAGAAAGAGAAAGAGCTCGGTTTATTAGCCCACTTTATTTCCTTAAATTTTTAATCTAATGAACCTGGAACTATCTTTATTTTTAATAATCAATTTAATTAATACAGGACCGATATATATGATGTATAATATACCATTAATTACAGAGAACACCTTTACGGTCAGCACTAGATCTTGGTAGTCTAATCATATTATTCGCGTGAATTTTATGTACAATATATTCTTTGCCCTAGCAATCTTCAGTTTCTTCTCTTATGGAGTCTCATTACATCGCCCTAATTGTTCAAAGCTCTAACTCCGTTTCGCTCGATCCATAGACCCTTTCTCGTACTTTTTTTTTATCGATTCTATACAATTTTTCTTTTTTTTCTGGCCTCGACCGGCTTTTTATAATTCCGATTGAAAAGATCGGTCATATCCGTTTACCTTTCGAACGGATTGTTCGATCATTTAAACCTGGATTTTTTTCTCAGTAAACGGTCGATCGAAAATAACGTGTATGTTCTATATTGCTCGCGTGCGACCGCTTCGCCGAGGCGAAGGCCCCGAAGCGGAACGGGCGTCGATGCACGCGCACGGCAAAGTGCATCTCGTTAACGAGCGAGGACGCGCGTGCAAAATTCGCGACACGCGCCGGCGACGCTCTTTCGCTTCAGACAGAAAGAACGGCGCCGCGCGACGCGACGCGACGCGTTGCGACGCGGCGTGGCGGATCGATCGATCAACGGGTGACTGTCTGCGTCAAGTAAAAGAGTAAAACGCACCGTCACAGCGAGATCATCAGGTCTGTCGAAAGTCACTCTAAACCGACTGTCCACATTAATCGGAACTGAAATGAAAATTATATATGAATTAGTGTTATAGTACACATATAGTATAATACGCTAGAGTATACAGTATATAGCATAGTATATAGTATATATACACTATAATATTAATTAGTATATATACTATAATACTAATTAGAGTGTATTATATAGTGTATATATATTAGAAGAATCTGAATTTATAGTAATATATAAAATATATAGAATTTCTTCTTCATAAATTCTGCAGTAAATCAGATTCCGGGAAATTTAGATGGCACGAACTCACATGAAAAATAAATAAAGTCCTAAATGTATAATATATAAAGAAATTTCTAGAACGGAATTGAGTTTCTGCGGAGTGTTCCAAATCTACTAAAAAAATATATATTTTTTTTTTTTGCTACAGAACTTTCAAAGAGTTCAAAGTAAGCTTTTAAAGAAAATGTTCAGAGAGAATCAATAGTTAGGAGGGTCGATAAGGACGCGATTGTTCACGTTCAGCTCTACATGAAAATTTTTAGAATAATGCGAAATTTCCTTGGCGGGTCGCCTGTAATATACTATACTACTTTTCGGAGGAGAAGGCGCACATCGCGAAAGAATACACGAGAGTTTGGAAAGCGAGATGAGGGTGCAGGTTGAGGGAGCCTCGGGGCTACCTAAGGGTTGTCGCGCACGTGCGAGACAGAGATGACGCTACGTAGACGACAGTGCCGTTTTACCTAGGGTAGCAACAATTAACGTGCGGCCCGCAGTTTCCTTGTGCAAAATATAAAAACAAATTTAATAGCACATTGTGTCTAATCTAATATATATCCTTTTACGAAAAAGTTTCGTTTGAAAATCAGAGAAAGTTTAGTTCTACACAGATACATCTGTTATTAATTAATATCTCAATACATATTATCTACTTGATTTTATCTACTTGAAATTTTGCTTATAAAGAAACTTTTAATAGCCAGTTAGCAAAATATGAAATCAAAGAGTTAGTTTCTATACAAATCCGTTCTGATTTCTCAAATTTGTTATACATTTATATTATAGAGATAAATAACACGAAAATTACGTGATAGATGTAGGTCAACGTATACAAAAAAAAGATACAAATGGATATAAAATTTCTAATATTCCACAACTCGTGCGCAGCTCTAATATTCCACAACTGTTATGTGAAACACACGCAACAATAAAATGCAGCATAATTTAACACAAGAAGTGCACACTTATTCGGCGTAATAAATTACAGAAAGTTCGCGGCCCGATATGCTCCAAATACCTACGCGTGTCCAAGACGTTTATGGCACGCGTACATTTAAGGGCGACGTCAACCAAAATCTCCATTTAACTTAATCGGCGATTAGTCGAACCAGAGTGTCGCTTGTGCAACAAATTTCCAACTATATAATTCATTAAATTGTCTCTATCTATATAATTCTAATTTTTCCTCTTCGTCGAACAACAAAACATTAATAGTTTAATCAGTGTTAACAAGATGCTACAGGTATTACCTGCCACACGTTAATCGCCGATTAAGATAATCGAAATTTGGTCGAAATCACCCTCGTAAAATCAGGATACAAGGGCGAAGGGGGAGAGAGAGAGAGAAAGAGAGAGGGCGCGAAGTCTCCGGGTGCCGGAACGTGCGAAATCATCCCTGAGGCGGAGGCGGGGGATATGGGCGAAGGGGGGGGGGGGAGGGGGAACGGGGGGGGGGGGGGACGGTGAAGACGAGGGTGTCGGTCGCGAGTCGATAAACCGCGGGGCTGAACGCGGAGAGCACCCTTGCGCACGGCTACAACATGGCGGACGGTGAGTCCCATTCCCTTTTTTTCCCACGGCAGCCCTCTGCCGAATGCCGGCCGGAGAAGCCGGTGGAGTCGGCGGAGAGTTCGAGCGTGTGTTTCGCGCGATCGATTCGCGTCTCCGCTTGCTTCGTTCTCGCTGCCGTTCTCGCGCCCGATCGGCAGCCTCTCGGGGCTTTTCGCGAAGAATTTCCGCTTCCGAGCGCTCTCTCTCTCTCTCTCTCTCTCTCTCTTTTTCTCTCTTTCTCTCTTTCTGTCGCTCGGGAGAAGGGTGACCAGTGATCGGCACCGAAGTGCGTACGCGAAGATTCCCTTTCTCCCTTCGTCTCTGTCTCTGTCTGTCCATCTCGAAGAAAACGGTGAAATTAAACCGGCCGCGTTCTTTTTCAGACGCGGATCAATCGATATGCGACTCAGGGAGTCCGTCTCGGTGCCGCTGCATCCCGGTGGACTGAACAACAAGTAAGTAATCTTCTTAACGACGAGACCGGGATCGGAAGGAGAGTGGTTAATTGACAGCCGGCCGGGCAGACGATCATGTCGGCGGAGATAACGATAATGATCGTCCTAATCGAGGGAAACGGACGCGGAAGTTGCAGTGAACGCCGCAGTTCATGGAAAAGCCGTCACACTTTGTTCTCCATATACATATATTACGTAATGTGTTTCTCAAGTGCCGGTTTTAGTGGCCCTTAAGTACATCAGAGCCGTTTTTAGCAGTCAATGTTATTTTATAACGAGCTGCGCGTTCTTTCTAACGCTATAGAATATAGCTCACACCAGTTGAATGTCCTCCTACACTGTTAAATATTAAAGGATGAAATGTTATTTGAATACCTTGAGTTAAATAACATAACTCAAGGTATTAGTTTAAATAACATTCCATGTGTGTCGAAATTTATTATTTTAACACAAAACAGTATTATTTTAATTGCATTAGTTTAGTTGAATTAACATTGTTTTAGTTAAATTAACAACATATTGAGTAGGAGCAGTAGCGACCTATAGGAATAGTTTTTAAAGTTTAAAATTTGACACTGAATTTAACAGTGTATTTTATAAGCACTTATTACGTTTAAAATCTTCACCGCCTTTTTGTATAATATGTGTAAAATCGAATTGAAGATATAATCTTCTTTTTACCCTGAAAAAATGAGAAAATTATTGGTCCTTTTTTACCTGTGAATTGCGGAAACTATAGAGCCTTATACAATTTATTAAATATTAACTTAATCTTTTGAATCTGGAAAAGTTTAGAAATTAAACACGAATTAGCACATTTCTTTAAAAGAAATTGAAGGTAGTATCTAGTTCTTTCTTTATAGCAAAAAAATATGACAGTTGCTTTGACTAAAACGATTTAAATCGAATTTTGAATTTAAAATAAATGATTTAAAAATCCACGCTAAATAGTTGCTGAAACATTCCAGGAGCAACAACAAAAAAACGATAGACGAATTATTTCTGTAATTTGAAAAATTATCAATTTAATTTTGTTATTTCAATTTTAGAAACGATATTTTGTTATTCGCATTCTTCCACGCGTGCATACATCCAAGCGATACGAGCATACACAATAACGGCTGCGCCGCGTACGCAGACGTCACAGGCTGCAAATGTCAGTCACCGTAATCTTTGCCTGACCAAGTCGCCTGATTATTTCCTAGTTATAAGTTAACGCTAAATATAAACGTCTGATCCCGCTTCCGCGGCGACCGTAGGCGTGCTGCCGCCTATACCGCCTCGGCATCGGCGTGCCCGAGGTGGTATACCTAACAGCAACGCTAGGTAGTATCGATCCACCTGGACTCATTTCTCGGTCTCGCACGCAGCCAGCTCCGCAGGCACAGCCCGAGCCGGAGCGTCGTCGGGGCCGGCGAGATCGGCGATCGCAACGAGAATAACGCGGCCCAGGTGCCGCCGGCCGCCAGTCCCGTGTCGGCGGGCTACCCGAGCGACGAGTCGGCGGACTTCCGGCTGGCCGAGGACACCACCACGTGGTCCTCTCTGGCAATCGCGCGCGACAACGTGCAACAGAGCAACCCGTCGACGCAGCAGCGATCCGTCAACGTCAATAATAATCTCACCGAGCCGAGGATACGAAGGAACAGCTCCGTCGAGAGCCTCTCCAATTACGAAGGTGAGCGTGTGTTGCGTGTGCGTCGCTTTATAAACTTATATTGATTTAAGAAGAACCGATGCTCTTTTAAAAAATATGCAACGATTTACTCTCTTACTCTTTTTTTTTATAATTAATAATTGAATTATCGAACCAAAACGACGATTATTCCCTTAAATTCAGCGAGATGTCGCAATTTATTATCTCCTACGTCGACATTTATGCTATCTATTATATATTCTTCTTCGATTATTCACTCACGCGTGAAATAACTCGTATGATTGACGCATATATATTGTCGATACGATACGGCCGATTCATGTTGTATATGCAATTTTAATCGCAAATCGGAGAAATGTGATAAATTAATTTCGGAGAAGAGAAACTGTGATAGAGCGTAAAGAGGATTTAGAAAGACGAAAAAGAGAGAAAATAAGTAAAAGACCTGTATTGTTAGGCACGGTCGAAGAGCAATCCGCCAACGTAAACAACAATCTAACCGAGCTGAGGATACAAAGCAGCAGCTCCGTCGAGAGCATCGCCGATTACGAAGGTGAGCTGCTTCGTCCCCGAATCATCCCATATGCACAATTGAATCGCGCTGAGAAGACGCGAGAGCTTCTCAATGCGATTGAATCACGATGCAATCCATAAAGAAAAATTCCACGTAACAAAAAATAAGCGAAGAGGTAATTCTAAGGTAGATGGAATGGTAAAACGAACAAGACGTATTTTTTTTGTCGCTCATATAGAAATCTTTTAAAGAAATATCTAGACAATGAGCGGATGCACCTGAATCCCTGAATCATTGGATCTATTAACTTCGCAGATCGCCACTTCTATCGAGCAATTGATTGGCCTATTTTTTAGTCACGCTTCTCTCAAGTGCCACTCCATGCACGACGCCCGGGATTTTATTGGAAAACAATGACGGTTGAAGGTTTCATTGCAGAGGAGCGACAAGGCGAACTTCGATATTTTCCACTGGCTGCCATTAATAACGGCGTATATCCTTGACATTAAACCGTTATCCGTAAAGTGCAGGCACGGGATTTTTAGTTTAACCAAAGTCACTCGCGCGGTCGTTGCGGCGCAAAATGTGGTACGCTTTCGCGATAATTAGCTCTCGCAATATGCGAGGACTATGACATGACTTATTTTTAAATCTACTAATTGCAAACTAAATTCAAAAATTATCAGCGCAGAAGCAAAAGGGTGTGGAAATTAATTATTTATGAAATGTAAAATGTCTAGAAATCTATAGAATTTCAAGCAATCTATGAAGTTTAATGTTACGAAATATGCCAGTAATTTCAAACTTAAGCTACGTTAGCAGCTGATAATAATTCACCGTGTTAATCTGTCCCACTAAACCGAGGATCCATGCGAAGGACAGTTTATAGAAAGAGTGCAGTTTATGCAGCTTTGCACAAGTAATCATGTATGAAATCAAAGATCTAGTGATTATTCATGCATCACTGGTCTATCCGATGACGACCAACAGAGCGACGACGGTACCAAGAATTCTCCGAGACAGAGAGAACCGTTAAAACCGGAGAATTTAATCTTATCGATGTGTGCGTCAAGTAACGCGGGTGGGCTGTGAGAGAGACGATCAACATTCCCTACGAGCGCACGAGCCGACCGCGACCGCGATCGCGCCGCGATGATGACGATGAGTCACGGGTTACGATCCGTCCAATTGTTCGGCCTGTGTGGCTGGAGACGAGTGTAACCGCGAAATGTTGCAGGGCGTAACTCCCCGCACGAGAACTCGTCGCGCGAGCTGACGCCGTCCGAGTGGTCCGACTGGTCCGAGGAAGGAAACCTGCCGGCGGGCTGCCGCGGCATCGTCAACCCCAACTACCCCGGCTTCCAGCATCTGGCGCCTTCCCTGCTGTCGGACACCGACCTGACCGAGGACGAGCACGACAGCTATTCCGATTATCCGCCGCTCCATCACCACCATCACCACGACGAGGTGGCCCCGTTGCCGGAGAACGACAACGAGTACAACAATAATATCGACGACAGCGTCAATCATCTCTGTGGCCAGCGCAACGATCGCAAGATCTTCTACGAGAAGCCCAAGTTCAACATACAGGTAATATCCGTCATTTGAGCGGATTGACCGTACTTGTAGCTTGAAAATGAAAGCGTGTCACGGAGAATTACAAAGATGATCGTGAGATGTGACAAATTCAGAAGTCTGTAGATATGAGCGACATTTATTCCACAATATTTGAAAATATGTCATATGTTATTATCTTGAATAAAAAAGTTCGATTCTATGTCAAGGTTCTCAATTCTAAGATTTGTTTTCTTTTCAAGGCAATAAAGATTCGAACTCCGAAGATGTTGAGTGCCGGATGAGACATTTTTTTTTAACAGCGAACAAAATACATAGGTACCTGGATGACTTGTTCTTTTTATCCGGAACTTTCTTTGATTCTGAGACCTTCCGTTTTCAAATGTTTTAACAAAAAGATTTCAACCATTCATCGAATCGTCGATGAATGGTTAATTTATCTGTCCCCATTGAGCTAAAAAGAACGTCTGATTCCTCTGCGTTGGCATTCATCATCAGCAAAGGGATTAGACCAATTCGGTTTGCACGAGTCACGTCACGACAATCGCGCGACGTCGTTCCGGGATGAGTGAGTCAAACTTGTCACTGGCAAAACCGCGGGCGACAGTCGGCGACTGTCGTATCAACGCGTAAAAATAATCGAGCGCGTCCTCCTACGAGCGTACGCCCGCTCCGTGACATCATCATACCGTTCTCGTCTCTCTCCGTGTTCCAGACTGTGACCTCTCTGTACGAGGCGGTGGTGCCGCCTTCGGAAAAGTGCATCAACTACGTGAAGAGCGTAGAGATCTCGAAGTCTGAGGAGAAGACGCTCTCGCCGGAACCAGAGGAAGTCGTCGTGAACGGCATCGTCGAGGCGGATATAACCCATCTGACGCTTCTGGACGAGCGGGAGGGGAGTCTAGCCGACCCGGTGGACCAGCGCGCCCCCGACTTGTCGCAGGTGACCTTCAAGGATAAACGTGAGAGGGAGGTACCCGTCGAGGTCGAGCTGGTGGAGCTGACCACCAGCGTGAATGAGAGCCTGCAATTCCCGGAGATCGAGGAGATCCTGGACTCTGGGAAGACCAGCGAGGTCGGCGAGGTGAGCCTAAAGGTGACTTTTGCGATAACGATTCATTAAGATTAAGTTAAGAAATCTCGACAATTTTTATAATACAACAATTACGAAATGTTATTATTAGTAAATTCAAATAAAGATTACTCAAGCTGCTTGTAATTGATCCGGGGGAAAAGTTTTTCATGTATAATTATGTATAAAATGTATATTTTCTTTCTCTTGTATAATCTTTCGCATCGTATACTAGAAAAATATGAAGAAGAAGAATTTAAAAATAATAAATGTGGATAATTTTGTTGTTTCTACAAAAAAGTAGTTTCAGGAAATTAAAAAAATTACCTATATGTAATTATTTATAAATGCAATAAAATTGTGTGTAAAATATAATTATATATGATTACATATAGAAGAGTATTGCATAATTTAATCGCAATTTTACTTTTTGTAAAAAATACATGCAAAAGTTATTTATTATTATTGTTATTATTATTATTATTATTATTTACTTACTCTTCTTATTATTTTTCTGGCATATACGAACAGAGATTATACGAGAGAAAGAAAACCATATGGAAATATTTTATATATAATTATGTATAAAAAAATTTTTCTCAGGTGACGTACATGACTTAAAATAATATCTAAAGTGGACGTTTAATTCACTTGATTTTATTTAACATTTTTAAATTGTATTCTGTATTATAATTAACATTTAACTATTACGGTAGTATTTAACATTTAACAATCTTGTATTTATTTATAATCTAAGCTAAAGCCGCCTTGAATTCCATTAATCCCTAAATCCCGTTGTTGCCGATTATGTTGTTCCATCCATAATTAATACTTAATTATCATCGAATACACAATTTCCACGACTTCTCTGTCTGAGGCCCTTCAATGTTATTATGCAATTGATTTGCATGACAATCATTATCCCAACTAATTCTACTTCCTGTCATTGGTGCCTCTCGCGCCTGTCTGATTCGCGACGTTCTCGTGCTACGGTCGATTAAACGCGAAAATGATTTTGGTGTGGGCGCACAGACGGAGGACGTCGCGGTGGAGCACATCGACCTAATACGCGAGGCAAAGGAGCTGCCTCACCCAGATCGCTCCAAAATAGGCAACCGTCAGCCGGTGACGACGACGACGACGTCGACGGGCGGTTCGGCCGACGACGACGAGTCGGAGAGCAACAGCGACTACTCCGAGGGCTTCGCCGAGGAACGGCCGACCTACACGAAGCTGGAGGAGATCGATCTGCTATCGAGCATCGGCCGCGACATCGGCGTCGATCTCGAGAAATACGCCCAGCCGGTGCCAGACGTGGTCGCGATGGAGTCGATTGAGAGTATGCGCCAACCGCGGCTCGCCCCGATCGTTAAGAATCACGTGGACACCAACAAGCTGTTGGATCGCGACCTTTCGGAGGCATCCAGCGCCGACGCCCGGAAGAAGGAGAAGATGGCCAAGAACCAGGCCAAGCGCCGTCAGCAGCAGCAACAGCAGCAACAATCGCGAAACTCTAATTCCCAAAGGCGTCCCGATAAGCGCAGAGTTGACATCGATAACGGATCTGGTAGGGATCTCAACGCGTGTCATTTTATTCTTTTATCCTATTATTCTAGTTTTCATTTCCGATTATATCTCTTTTTATTATCGTTTTATTATTACATCTATTAAGATTAGTTTCTATCATTTATAATACTCTGCTATAGTTAGTCTTCAAATATTAATTGTAACTTAGCTCTTATTATATAGTTTGTATATTAATGTAAATTTATTTATTTAACAATTTTTTTATTGTAAATTGTAAATTAATATTATTGTAAATTATAATTAATAATTTTATAGAATAGGTTCTTAGAGAACGTAGATATGTTACTAATATATTTCTTTACAACTTTCTATATATTTTTCACATTTTGAGCAAAACATACTCTTCTTAATGAATATGCGCAATACATGTTATGGCCTATTCTATGGCGAGTCAGGTAATTAACTGACTCGCTTTTCAGTAATTGGAAAAATAATTGCTCTTGCATTATCAGCGGTGATTGCGAGTCAGTAATTATTATAAGTAATTTCACACGCGCCTTGAAAGTGCTATTTTTAAATAGCTACTCCTTTTCATTTACCTTAATTAAGTTTATTATTTTTAACATTAAATTCAATATTTGGTTTCTTAAATTAAGCTTATATCAGAATTAATTAATTAAGTATTAATGAACTTATAATTGAGCAATAAGATTTTCTTGTCAGTTTTTATATTCAAATCTTTCGAAATAATGGAATATTAAATTTTTAATTAAAAAATTGATATCAAGCGATGAAAATTTGTAATGAATTTGAGACACGCTATATAAAGATATATATGTTTATTAATTACGACCCTTGTGAGAAATATACGGTTGAATCGAGATAAGTCTTAATTTTTGACCGACCACTCGAGATTACGTGCATGCGATGGTCCGGCACTCACTGGTTTCCGTTTGGCTGTTTTGGTCGTGCCTCCGCCACGTCGCGTCGTCGCTGTAAAAGTTTCTCACGTTTGACATTTGCTGTTAAAGGTGGCTTCGACGTTTACAACATCGAGACGGCAATGCCAAAGATCGATCTGGACGCGATCGAGTCGCATCTCAGAGCTGCGCGTGAGGAGGAACGTCGGGTGAGTAATCAACATTCTTTTCCACACTTTTATTAGCAATTATTTTTTACTTGGGGATTGTAGCAGGATTACGGACTTACGTAGGGATCTCATTGTAGAAATTTAATAACAGTACAGTTGCTTCTTTTTTTAAAGTGTTATATACAGCACAAGTCGTTCTTTTTTTATTGAAGTGTTACACCTTATACGCTCTTAGATAATATTGTAAAAGAGGCAGTTTTGCGTATATTTATCTACTAATTCATTCTTCGATACGTAATGCAATTCTATTGATTTCCAATATTTCTTTTCTTATACAGAGATAAGTTCTTAAATTAACTCGAACTCTCGGGTCAATGAGAGCCCTCGGTTCATTCACACTCCTGTCCGACTTCACGTATTCCAATATCCCATCTGGTTATCGTGGACTCTTGAATACGTTCGGCAAACACCGATTAGAGCGTCAATTCTGTCTAAGGTTTCGCGTTTGCGTCGAATGCATTTTGCGGGGGCATCTGTGAGTAGGCGGACGCCGTATGTAGGTCCCTATTTGATACGAGAACTTCGAGCACGTACACGTAACAAGACTTCCAAAGGAAATGACTCTCGAGCTTCAGATTTTTTAAAGACTGCTTTAGTGGAACTTTCCTTCTAGTTCAGTAATACTAGAATTTAACGATGAAGCAATTAAGGAGAACGATTAAAAATAAAGGAGAGTGATTACTTAGCATCACGGGCGTGATAATTTATATCGCGCGACCTTGATACACTTGATGACTTCGAACGACGGAGTACATGGATCGATGAAATATAATAAACAAATCGTTTAGATATATGTGTAACTTTGCCATTATTAACGCGAGAGAAGAGTGTACAATTTCTCTGCCTACGCACTCGTTTTGTCACGACGACAGATTTTTTACTCTTGCCCGCCTAGATCTAGAGAGCGGTGCAGCATCGTGCTCCGAATGTTGAATCGCGCACAGGGCAGAAGTCACGCATGGCCAGTCAACCGAAACGCTTTACGCACGACCCCCCGAAGATGATTTAACGATCTTTTGTTGCAACGACGCTGCGGCTCGCATAGCGCAATAAGTTTGGAGCGCTTTCGCGTGCGGCAGATGAGTCCCTTTCCAGTAAATATAATACAATTGTGCAAATTGAATGCATAACTTTCTACTTCGTGCGCTTGATTATTGCACGGCGAAATATACCGTGGTTTACGTAATTGTTTATGTTGTTTCTATGAAAATATGCATGAAAACAATAAACGATTTAAACCAATAGAAACCTTTTGAGAGAGAAACTATTTAAAAATTAATTAAGGTTTTTTTTCTGTAATTATATTCTTATTCATATTCTTCAACTTTATAGAAGAAGAAATTTTGGTGGCTTTACGTTTTGCATAAAGTTCACTATAAAATAGCCATGCTTTTGTGTCTTTAAAACAGTGCGTTTAATTTTTCAAGTTATCAAGCAATAAGTTATCAAGTTACCAAGCACACTAAGCAATAACGTTACGAAAGACATAACACGTGCAATGTACAGCGCAAAACGCATATATAATGCAAAACTGATATTATTGAGTCATCAACTTCCTTGCGTTTGAAAGTTTTACTCCCGAGCGGGACGCACCGAACGAGACTGCGAGAATGTATCTCACTATCAAGCCATTCATTCCGAAAGCTATCGTACTATAGGCGTCTATACGGAGCGCGCGGCATCGCGGATACGATTCTCTACCCATTTTCCGGAGCGAATTGTAAACTCGGAAACGCGGCCGACAGGCACAGAAGTCAACACACTCTCTCGTCCAGCACTTTCACCAAGGATCCCCGTGAGAGATGCTAGGCTCCAGTAGACAGGGCCACCACCACGATCGCCGCCAACCACCACCATCGGCCGTTGAACGCCTCCTCCGCGGCCAGCAAACCTTAACGAAGGATCTCACTCGACTTGCTTTGCAGTAGTCTCGTGCCGTCTTGGTCTCGCGCGCGTGTAAATCTCGTGACTCGTCCTCGAGGTCGGTTGCACCTCGACAGCCTTGGTCTCGACCCGAATCCGATCAGCGGATTCCCTTTCTAGATTACAGTTCTGCTCGCGATAACGCAGAAAGAGAGAAAGCGAGCTTGTGAGCGGAAGGAGAGGAGTAGTATAAGGAACTCGTCGAGAGACAAAAGTTTTTGATAGAACTGCAGATAAATTTTACGAGAAACGAACCTCTGTTCATCCGAGGTGCGCGATCATGGGCAGCAGCAACAAGTCGCGCAAGCATTACAAGAAGGATTCGAGATTCGTCGCGGATCTCTACACGTTCACTTACGACGACGACTTGGATTGTGTAAGGGATGCGAAGGACGAAGGGCGATAGCGTATATCCGATGTAACTTACAATTACACGCGAAGTGAGATAAACGCTGGAGCTGACGCGTTGAAATGTGGATCGCAATTAAATTCGCTCTGTGACTCGGGGAGCGCAGAATAATCTGATGTTTATCGCGTTTCATTCTTTTCACTTTCAAGTGACAGATTGACAGTGATCGTTCCCGTTCTAAATTACTGAAACGCTGTTTTCAACGAAATCACTTTGCAGCTTGACACGTCTTTTTTAACGCGCGAATCTTTTTTATAATATCTTTTGAATAGTATGTTAGGAGACACCTGAGCTACATCTTTATCTTAATTCTTGATTGATTGATATAACGTCAATATATATAATATCTATGTTTTGTTGGATTACTTAATGTAAATTAACATTGCAAAGAATTAGTTGTAACAATTTAATATATTGGTTCAAAATTAGTTCATATCAATATTATTTGTGTATATACACTATAACATAATTTTAAGAATAATGTGATAGTCGAGAATGGTAGAACTTTATCTAACATATATTGCAACAAAAATTAAGGAAAAGAGAAACATTGTTTATTATTACATTGATTTTATTACAATGTTTAACAAAAGATGACTTTTTTCGAACACAAGGGTAAATAATAGTTTTTTGGATTCTCGAATGTGATTCCATTTACCAAAGCACTCTATCAAATCACAATTTTGAGAAATTTGTGGTTAAACTTGCAAAAAGGGCATTCAACAATCGTTTTTTAATCTATTCTTTGCTCTCTTAAAGTATATACATATGTATATACTTTACAAAAAATATAATTTTATACATGAGATACGCACATCTTTATGATATCTTTGAAGATTCTTCAATTTTTCATGAGGAAACAGGTTGTTTCTTCTATTTTATTTGCTTTTATTTCCATTTTTGATGCGCGTTTCTTATAAATTTCATTTTCTATTAAGAGTTCTTTTTTTCTCTCAAAAAAAGTCATTTTTTATATATGTTTAATATCTTCCTTGTGTTTGTGAGTGAGATCAGAAAATTTATTAAAGTAATCGTTGGCAAGCTTTTCGTATTGCGTTTTAAGTTCATGTAATTCGCATTGCGGAGCAGATAATTGAGCTTCAAGTTCTGAAATTTAAACTCGCGGCACAGACATCGAGTTGACAATTTTCTTTTTAGAGTAATCCTATTTCCATATCGTGTTCTTGTTTCGCTTTTTCCAGTTTGTTTAACAATTCTCCAATGTGCGTTTCAAGAGCTTCGATCTGTTAAAGGTTAAACCCGTTAAACAAACGAAACATAAGAGAACTATATATTGTTAATACAATAGTTTGGGTAGCAGTGTGGTCTAGTAATAAAGCGCCAGACTCGTAACCACGAGAAACCGGGTTCGAGTCTACCTGATCACAGAAATTTTAATATTTCAAACTGCACCCCTCCCCTCGTATGAGAAATAAAAAGGGGACTCTCGTACGAAGAAACTGGGCTCCGTCTTTCAGAAGAGACGTTATAAGCTCTATTTCTAATAATTGAGAGCGAAGTATCAAGATATAATATAAAACAACTATGATAAACATCAGGCAGAATTACAATTTGGTAAACGGAGTCGTATTTATCGTATTCAAAAAATATATTATTAATAAAATCGAATATATCATTAAAATTATGTAAGTTTTTGCGTAATGAACCCACCTATCGTTGAAGCACTTGTCAATTAGTTAAAACGATTTGTCACAATTTGACACAAATCGCTTCAATGTGACAGTTAAGGTCACTATACAAAAACTGACATAATTTAATGATATACTCGATTTTAATAATATATATTTTTTAACGTAACAATAACACTGTTCAACATAATGTACAAGAATAAGAAATAATAATTTTCCGTAGTTTTTTTGGACGCTGAATACGGTCATTTTGAGAAATTTGCAGTGAAAGTTGTAAAAAGGGCTATTTTAGTGTACTTTGGCATATTATAACTTCGATATGTAGTGTGTTGGGGAAGTTTTATTACAATCAAAATTTAGTATAAATTGTTAGGATTTGTGACGTGTGATAGAACAATTTATATAGTAAATGGATTCGTATTCAGCGTCTAAAAACGAAATGGAAAACGGTCACCTTCGTTCTTGTGAATTTTTTTGTTGGACAGTGTACTAAAACTGACTTATCATATTTTTTTACGTTTGTTGTTGCGCAGCAGCGAGCGATTATCGCGGCATACTTTATAGCTTCAACACTTTAAAGAGCGAAAATGTCAACTAGCATGGCTTTTAAATGTTTTAGCGTCAGAGATATGTTGATTCGAAACTACTATTCAGAATCTTAACGTCACAAGTTATTTTAAAATACAATGGAATCCATCAGAATTCAATTGCAAGATGCATGAGAAATTACCACATTCCTCAGTCGATCTTGTGCGTGAATCTCGTTTGCGTGGTGATCAATGCAAGTGGATTGGAACGATTGCATTATTACATCTGGGTGTCAGGCTCAGATGTGTCAGACTTAACAAAATTCCAAATTCCTGTTCGTGTTGTCGCTGTAACAGGAAGGTCGGCGAACCACGCGATTCGGTACGGTTCCGGACCGACGCAGGCGTGAAAGTGGGTCACGGAAGTGACTCGCGGTGCTAATGAACAAGCAGATTTTAGCGTGGAAGCAAGTCCCGCTGCTGCGATTGCAATTAACTTAACTTACACTACGGGATTTTATCTATTAAACAAACCTGCAATTTGAATCTGAAATTCTGGACGATTGTAAAAGCTATACCGATATCTTGTGGCATTCCACGACTTTTAGGAGGTGTTGAGAAATTTGGAAGATACTACTGTTTTCGACTATCACTAACGTATATCCGATTCGTTTTCGAATCTACGGAAGTCTGTCGCCCTTCGCAAGAGAATATAAAGTAATGTCGCCGAGTTTCATGAAAGTAACAAACGTTAATTTGTGAAAGTGGCGTCAAGATGACGAAGAGGAAGCCACCACGGAAACGGATAAGCCCCCGGAACTGGTGGAAACCGAGAAACCGAGAGAAACGAAGGGAGAGAATTTGGAAAGGCCTGATTGCGAGAGGGAAGATTTGATTACTCGATTCGACAGAGTTGTACGAGGCGAATTTGATCTGCAGGTGTGAATTAATTCGACAAACGTGCGAGTGGAACGTGTGCAAAGGTTTAACGACCGCAACAGCATGCATTTGACATCGAAAACTATCTGAATTTATGATATTACTGTTACTCCTAACTGTTGTATGATATTTACTTCTAATTATATACTTCTAATTATATTATACTTCTAATTATATTGCATAACATGATTAATAAGGTGGATTAGATTGGACATCTGACTGAATTTTCAGATGCTTTCTATTCAATTTTATATCCGGTATTCACAAATTTTGATTTATTTTTGATAGAACACATTTAAGTTTTGAGTTAAATTCACATATTGTAGGAAGTCATTGACTTTTTGAGTTTCCTAAAAACGAAAAGTTTTAAATCATAATTTCCAAGTGCAAGCGTACTTGCGTCCTTTCGAATTGTGCTATCATATCAGTTTGTTCAATATGTAAAGCGTTTAGCGACTATCGCGGTTCATGAAAGTCGACTAACATACTTTTTTCTTGTGTTTACAGCGACGAAACGATCGTGAGGAGATTAGAAGGAGACTCGCGATGGGACCTGATGCCGAAGATTTACGCGCCGAACGTGGACGAAAACCGAGTCTCCAGTCGCGTCTTCAGAGTGGTCCGTACAGATTTAAATTTTATTTTCTTTACGATAGTATCGGATAATAATTAAGTAAATGAATAAGAAAATGCGTGAGTAATTTATTTTTAAAGTGACATAGGCCATCAAATTATTAACAGATAGCATATATGGAAATTTTATTTTTACTTACTTTTATTTGCAGGAGAAAGATACATATTTAATTATATTCCTTATTATTAATACATTGATAGGAGCAAATGATCAATGAATTGTCAGCTCATTTTTTTTACATGTTTTATGATTAAAATGCCAAGTGACGGATCACAAAAATGCATCTGCGCAGGAATGAACCTCCAGATCTGCTTCATGAACGAAACATCGTCGGACACTGAATCTCCGGGTTCGGAGAACGACACGTCTCCTGGATCCACGCCCACGTCCCTCAATTCGAAGCAACTCGATGGGAAGCAGGCACCAACGAGACCACAGATGTTGAGTCTTCCATCTCTAAGACTCGACTCGAACTCCACACCGCCGGTCGATGAGGCTGACTTCTTCGCACGACAAGCCAGACTGCAGACCGAAGCGCGAATGGCCCTGGCACAGGCCAAGGAAATGGCACACATGCAGATGGAAGTGGAGAGACAGAGACTGAAGCAGAGCCCCATCACCGAGATGGTGCGATGCAGCTTGGAAAAAGTAAGTGGGAACTCTAATTCGTTGATTAATAATAGTCTAGATAACATAGACTCCATTTATAGTAGAAGAACTCCGCATAAAGGAAGCCAACAAAGGAAACATATATTATAAGCTATAAAACGAATCTTATGCTATTTTTATAAATCGATAACGATTATTAAAGGAAGAACAATATAAATACTTCGGTGCGGATTCTTGATAAATACATGAAATTTAAACAAACACTTAAACAAGATTTGTAACAAATGAACGATATACTTTAATTTTTTAATTCGTAGATTGGATATATCACCTTCGATCAGTAAATAAAAATACAAAAAACTTAATATGTAACATACTTTTACACAATTCAAGAAATGTTTTATTTCATATTTCAATTTATAGTATTATAGTTTACAGTCAACTTATGATTGAACGTTCTCAACGTTCCGTAACATTCTCAATAAGCAAACTGCCTACAGTATGACAACAGATTGACAGCAGATTCGTTCAGATATTGTAACAGATCTGACATCACTTGTATCCGCATTAATATGTGTTTCACCGGCAAAACCTGCCGGTATATAATAAACAGCGAATTGTCGGCAGAAATCGAACAGAATCTGTCATTTCATAAATGGCTATGAAACGGGATGTTCAGTTTCTGCAGTCAATCTGCCATTATATTCTGTTAGCAGATTCTATTATATTTCTGCTGGCATTTTTTCAACAAAATTTGTAGCAGACACTTTCAAAATCTGCGTTGACACTGAGTTTTTCAGAATCTATTTATTTTTTATTATTTAATAAGCTTTTGGATTTTTTCAGGTTGGTGTACAGCTAGGAGAGGACAGACGTAGATTGTCCCGTGTGCTTCTCACGGAATTGAACGTCGCGCAGCTGCAAGTGGTAGCGAACGACTTGCACGCGAGGATTGCCACATTAAACGAAGCGCTCGTTGAAGGACTTTTAAGGAGAGACGATTTGCATATGGAGCAGGATTCGATGCTCGTTGATGTGGAAGATCTCACTCGATATTTGTGAGTCCTAAGATTCATAGCCCAAAGGATTTATTACATTTTTTCTTTTTTTTATAAAAATAGTATATTACAATTTAATTATTTCTTTCTTCTTAATTTTTTTCCGGTTTTTATCTAAATTTATCTACAGATTTAACAAAAGTGTGAATAAATTAATGAAAACTTCTTTCTTTTTGAAATCATCTTCTTTTAATTAATGAAATTCTAATTACAAAATTATTGTAATATATAAAAACACAATAATTGAAAAAGAAAGAATATTAAAGATTATAATTTCGTTACGCAGAGGTGCCAAGCAGGAATCGTTGAAGAAGAAACAGCTAGGCATGCAGCAGGCGGCAAATTGGATTCATCAGCAATCCCCTCCAGCTCCAACGAAGTTGTCGATGAAACCGAAATTGACACACTTGAATCGCGGCCTGGTTGCCCTTGTAAGAAAATAATCTTTCGCCACGAGACTGCGCAGTCTCGTCGGAAATTGAACTCCGAGCTGAGAAGGGCACCACGGACTTTAGGGACGTGAAAAAGCGAAAGAGAAAGAAGTGAAGAGAAGCTTCCTTTTTGAGATAGGAGAAAGAACTTCTTTCGGAAAGAAAGGTAAAGAAAAGGAGGTCAAGAAACTTTCTTCAACAGGCGAGAACGGAATTTTCATTAGGAAAAAAAGATGAAGAAAGCTTCTTCGCGAGAAAAAGAATGAAAGATCTCTTTCAAAAACGATGATAAGGGAATTTTTCATGGAAGAAAGAATATTGTCAAATATAAAAAGACAATTGCGTTAGAGGCCGTGGTGTGCGTGCTCGAGAACTCTAAAAAAAAAACACGTAACGATCAGCTTTGATAAACGGTGGAATCGATTCCTACCGTTCTCCGGTAAAGGGAGAGCAGGAAGTATCTTTCCCCTGAATTTCCAAGAGTTTTTACAGCTTCGTCGTTAACGTGGAAGTAGAAATTTACATATTTGTGTACCGCGTAAGCAAGAGCAGGAGCAACGATCCTTCGTTTGTACCCTCACATTGAGATTCTCCGTCTCTCTCTTTTTATCTCCTTCTCGTCTGTACTCGCTCTCTCGGCCCCTAAGCTCAGATTATGTCCCGCGACATGCATGCATGTGTCTACGAGTGTATCGAGTTATTCGCCTTTAAATAATAGCGTATCATTAGCGAGAACGAATCCCTTCTCTGTACATATAACGAATCTAATATTATTAGATTATTGCCGTATCGAGATTTCACCTGGTGTTTAAAGAGCGCTTCGTTCCGGTCGTCCAATGTAAGTCGCGTGCGTTGATGTGATGTTAACATTTCGTAAAGTCGTGTTTAATTTAATTGCGTGGTAGGGTAATTCGAGCAACAAAAATTTCTGTATCTTACGAATCCACCTTTAGATTTATAAATTCAACGATTCAACGATAAGTATTCTGATGTGTATAATACTCTTGCTTCGGTAGATCTCTAGATCCGCCAATAGAAGCCGCCAGCTGATTAAACAAATCCTTCGCGTATAAATTTGTCGTTCCACTCGGCTTGACTATACGAGATATCGGCGAGACGATGAACCAGTTTTTATCTGTCGCAAACGACGAAGAAAGTCAATATACTTTCTTGAACGACACAATGCGCGCGCAAGGGAAAGTGGAAGGAATGGTGAACGCCAACGGAGGCGAAGGGAGTGCAACGACCGTGAAGAGCGAAAAATGCGTTACATATCCAAATAGGTGATCTAGTATGCAAAAAGCGATTAGTCCATACATAGGACAACTTGTAAAAACATAATCTGATAGAGATACTGGATCGAGCGTACCGTTTGTGAAACTTATTCGTATATGCAAGTGTTACGAAGACGACTTCGAACTTCGAAATTGAAATTATTCCATTGATATGGATTATTCGGTTCTTGCATCGTGCTATCGTTTTTGCATGCTGGTTTCTCACGCGATCTCATTCACACGCAGGATTTCGAATGTAGCCGAAATAAATCTTAACGAGTCTAACAAAGCTGCAACTAGCTTCGTTTCTTAGATCCCTCAGCTCACTCTTAAATTAAGATTATTTTAAGATTATATCAACTCGAAATAGACCCATTTTAAATGGAATAAATATTCATATCCTGACGCGTGTGCGTAAAAATTTATGTGATGTTTTGAAAATACTTTCGATTCTTAAATCCCCGATCGGTCTTAAGTAAATTTGCAAGAAAAGATTATTGTACTTACCACAAATTTAACTATTTAGCGATTTCACACATTCTAGTATGTATTATTTATTACCAGTCCCAATACGAATCAGTTCTCTTTGGCAAATTACTTTCACAAACGAATAGATTGAATGTATTCAGCTTGTCAACACTTTTTTCGAAAACGTCGAAATTATTCAACTGAAATGAAACAGCTTCATCCAAAAGAAAGATGACACAGTGAATTTATAGTTCTTAATTGCGTGCTGGAGACATTTGCTTAAGAATAACCTATTCTCGATCACGACAATGTTGCATTATAAAATTGTCAGTACAGTCATATAGGGGACTTTCGATTAGTCCTACGAAACGAGTTCCACTCGCCCGTGATTAATTGAGAGCAAAGGCAGCTTTTTCATCGATCAAAGCACAATTGAAATAACATTTATAGAAAACAAAAAAGATTGCTTTAAGACACCGCAATATAACCGCGATCACCCGCGAAATATCGAACTCAAGGTTGCGCAATCGGTGGTCATAAAAGTATCATCAAAGAGAGCCACATATTATCTACAAAATACTTTTAATCGTAATAATAATTAATAATATACAGATTGTAAATAACTAAACAATAATAAAATATGCTGTAACAAGTTCTTTCTCTTTCTCTCTCTCTCTTTCTTTATCACTCTCTCACACTCATACTTTCATTCTCATTCTCACTCTCTCTCTCCTTTTCTCCTTCTCAATGTCAAATTTCTTCTAGTTCCGCCCTCATGAAGGATCGAAACAATGAAGAAGGCACGGGCAGTATCGGATGGTGTTTCCTTTCGGTTTCATTATGCACCTTTCTCTCCCTCATACTTTTAACTTCGATTACCACCGCGACAACGAGAAGCTTTCGACAGCTTCTCGTTCATTCTCACTGCTTTGCCAAACCCAAAAGGATGGATAGGACAGGGAGGAGCACCATTTGAAGGACGTCTCGCTGAGTTCTTAGAGCCGTTTACACCGACAGCTTTTAGTTAACTAACTCCGGTTAGCAAACTCTCCATTCTCCATTCAGTTCTAGCTATAATCTAGATGAAGAAAGAGAATTTAATTGACCAAAGTTTGTTGTAACGGATGCTTGCCTAATTTACGTCTATTGCTTTTATTTTCTCTATTGCTTAACTCAAATATATTCACTGATTCTGTGCTCTTTCCCAAATCTTGCTATCATCCATAAATCAAAATTGACTGAAATATTATTTCTGGAAAAAAGCGACTCTGCTCAGACTCTTCAGAAATGTAGACGAAACTCGGTCTAGATTCCATCTCTGGAAGAGAAAGAGAGAGAGAGAGAGAGAGAGAGAGAGAGAGAGAAAGAGAGAGAGAGAGAGAGAGAAAGAGAGAGAGAGAGAGAGAGAGAGAGAGAGAGAGAGAGAGAGAGACAGACACACAGAATCATCATTCGTTTAATTGCAACCAATATCTGTAGGTTTAATTTGCGGAGGGAGAATGTAATTAACTATAGTTAGCTGACTGACGTCGATGTAAGCGGCTCTCTTTGTTCCAACGAGTCTCGGCGCGACACGATGTCTCGCGGAGGTATTTTGGAAAGAACACAGACGGCGATGACGCGTTAATAATAAACCTAATACGGTTCTTAAAGTCATTCCTAGTTTTCCTCTCGTTGCTTCCTTCGATGCCAAGAATGGCCAAGCCGTATGGCACCATGACAAAACTTCTAAGTCTCTCGATTATGCATGATTTTCTTTAGTTCGTCCTCTCTTAGCGCTTCCTTTCTCTCATTCCCCACCCCTCCTCTCTTTCTGCCTCTCTCTGTCAGGATACAGCGGACGTCATTAGCTCGTATATCGTCGTAATAAAAATTCTTAAACTTACAACCGTAATCATTATCTCTACTATACAAGCTGGCACTCGCCGCTGTGTACTCGCAATGTACTCCTTACACGCGCTATACGCTGGTAAATATTGCTTCTTCCTCGCAATGTCCGCGGAACCGACTCACGTGCCAGACTTCGATAAAAAAAACGTTAATCCTCGGACGCGTGTTCAGTTTATTTACACCTTTCTAAAAAAAAACATAACTGCCCCCGGAAACACCTCGAATATCAAAACGTTAAATAAATCCGCTCTAAGACGCAAGTTACGTTAAAAGCAAGACTCCCGCGCGTATACCTACTGACACACACGTTCTCGGAAAACATTCTATATATAACATGTACATAAAACAATTTCAAAATACTATACTCTTTACTACAGGTTTCCGAAATTTCGGTTTAAAGCATCCAAAAAATGCCTTAAGCTAAAAGTTTCCATCAAGATTCACTGTTAATCGTTATCAAAGGCAGTAAGAAATGTGCGTACAAAGTCGAGTATAGTTCCAATCAGGAAAAATCACCGCAGAAATTCGATCGTCCTTCGAAGGAACGTTCTACAGTCTATCGTGAATACCATGAACAACGTACAAAAGGACTATTACATTATTTTATCATCGATACGATAAAACGATCTAGCAATTCCGAAGAAACGCATCTGTGTGATTCCGTGTTAGCGTTCCAGAGAACGACAATGGCGCGCAAAGAGACAGTGGACATGGCGCGGTCCTACCTCCCTCAATCTCTCCTTCCCGTACCGTAATCATATCCGTCTATCACCCAGTACATAAGTAACCCTGTTTCCTCCAGCGATTCTCGAACTTGGATTCTCACTTACTCTTAGCTGCAAACAGTAACATTACAATCGCGATCGCTATTTCAATTATTCTCGATCTAGGAAATTATTAACAGTCTATTTCGGTCGCCAGGTGCGCAGAGAAAATCGCGAGGTCGTGGTAGTTGATTTACGACGACCCGACATCCCCGCTGACGTCGTTGTTGAGGGAAGCGGGGCATCAGATCGTGAGCGGAGTCTTTCTACAATCGTCAGTATTAGCGTCTTCCAGGATCACTTGCCCATACTGGCGTTCGCTGGCAATGTTGCTGATCGTTGTTGCACCGTTAAGTATGGCTTCAAGGTCGACCTTGTGGATTCCCTAAAAAGGAACGCGTCGTCACGTACATCTGTCGTTTGTTCGTACCGTTCGATAAAAAAACACAAGTAAAAAAAATCATCCGCATAGTCAAAGCCGTAGAAGCACCGAAAGCACGGTAACTAAATAATGTACAGATTGAAAGAGTGCAAGCTAATCTATTTCGTAACGAATGTCGAAAGCTGAAATTTCGAAATTTTGTGCGGTAGAACATCTACATGTGAACATGCTATCCTTAATCGATAAACATTTCGTTTCTCAACACACTTTTTCGATTTCACACACTTTTTGACCGCCCGATCAGTTTTAATCGTCACTCACAAATCAATTGTCATGCATTACACTAATATGTACACAAGTATATACAAGATCGGTATAGGAATAATTTTTCTTCCTTTCCGGCTGAACAAATTTTACGTCGTCTATTAATTGTGACTAATCTGGAAGATATTTTTCATGATGTAAGATAACATAGGTAGTAAGCACTTCCCAACAGTGATCGATCTGATTTAAAATTTAAAAATAAATTTACATGTTTAAATTATTACTAAACTATTACTACAAAATAAAAGAATAAATCTTGTTCGAATTATTAAAGTAAGTCGTCTCTATAAAAAATTCGAATCTTTGCACTGCGATTTTACATAATCGCTTAACGTTAAAGATGCGCAGTACATACATCCGTTGGTTTACTATTTCAATATTACGTGTAATGGGTCTCGCGCGACGATCGTCGAAAACGGGAAGTGTTGGAAACGAAAAGAGAAGGGGAGAAGTTGAAAGAAAAATCAAACGAGTCTAACCTCTCTACACCCACATCATGCGACGTCACAAAATAAGAGAGCTACTTAGTCCCCGCTCACGTCGAGCAGCAGCACGGCTACGCTACCTTGGCGAGACGCGCTGTCCCGTGCCGTCCACATGCGAGTTCGCCTTGTAGCCGCATTTCTGGACGCGCCTGGACAGCCGCGAGACCCAGTACTTCTGATCCTCGGGATTCGCCGCGAGCAGCAGTAACTCGCGGGCGCTGTTCGGGTCGTAGTGTAGCTTGCACGGGGCTATGGCATCTTCTTTCTTATCCAAATGTTCCTTGTGAACCTTAATGCGGCACCCTGTGCATAACGATGGCAGTTTGTTTTATATATTTACGTACAAAAACGCGAGAGCGACATATGTAGAAGTAAATAAACAATTATGACAGACACAATAATACGCACTTCGGCATTCGAGAGCCGGCGAAGGCCGAAACATGTGCCAGAGTTGCTTCGAACAAACTTCGCAGGTCGTCGGCATGTGATAAGATATCGACACGAACTCGTGGCCCTTCAGCGACTGAGTGCCGGGTTTATCTGTGAGCTGTGGTAAATCCACTCCAGGCAGTGTATTCCCCTCGTCACCAGGCCGCCTCGCTTCACCTTCACCAGCATAGAGTAACTGCATACGATATTAATTATTGAACAATAATTGAAGTACATAACGAATCTTTTAGATACCGAATTATTTTATTTATATGTGTGTTATGATAAATTTAAGTAAAATAAATATAATAAAATATAAACGAATATATAAAATGCACATAAAAAACCATATTAATGCCCATAGATGAAAATTACAAATTATTAAAACGCTAGGAGTTATAATTGAATAAATTGCGATATATGAACATTTGAATTTCTGATGATCCAAAGAATCGAGAAATATAGAGAGAAATATAGATACCTGAAATATTCTGGGTATATCTTTGGCATTGGCTCGGATAACATCACCCTGAGTAACAGATCTAACGTGGAAGACTTTATTCAAGTCTAATATCAAGACCGGGTCGGCGTTCAATTTGTCGTTTTCGCTATTGTAGAAGATTATCTTCTTGGAGGAAACAACGACGTATTGCTTCTTCCAACCGTGCCGCTTAATGTTCTGCTTATTTGGCACATTTAACCAGCCCTCTAATCTCATCACACCGTGCTCGGACAGGACCGAGTCCTCACCATCGTCGTTCTCTATAGACGAGACACTTGCAGTTTCTGAGTTGAGCGACGCGATTTTCATCTGCAGTGTCTCTATCTCCGAGTCTTTCGAGTCGAGTTCCATCTGCAGCCTCAGCTTCCCTTGATTTTCCTCCACGAGTTGCGCCTGAGGAAAAGGAAATTGTTTTCTTATTTACTCAAGTAATTCTATATACGGTTCTAACTCGGACACAAGCAATGATACGCCACTTACTTGCATATCCTGCAAATCCTTCTGCCACTTAGCTGACAGCTGAGAATACTTCTCCCTCTCTTGAGTGAGTTCTTGCTGCAGGCGCCTGCAATCTTTCTCCTTCTTCCTCAGATCCGCGGCGGACGCCTTATTCTTATTCTTCCCGCTTGACGAAAGGTCCTTCCGGTTCATGATCTCTGCCAACTTGTTGACCGCCTGCTGCTTCAACAATTGTTCGGTCTTCAGCTTGCTGCTCAGCTTCTCAATTTCCTCCACATTAGACTGCGCTTTACCGAGTTGGTCCTGCAATTCCTTATATCGCTTGCTCAAGTCTTCCTTCTCCTTCAGAGCCTGATCGACCGATTTCTTGAATTCACTCTCATTCTCCTTAAGTCTGTTTATAACCTGTTCTTTCGCGCTCAGCTCCTGGTGATGCTTGGTTACTCCATCTTTGTACTCCAGCTCTTTCATGGTTCTTTCTTTCTCCAAGTCCGCCACAGTCTCCTCGGCTATGGATCTGGCTAAAGCCTCGCTGTCACCGCGCGCCAAGGACAACTGCAGCTGATGCACAAGAGAGCTACGTTCTTCTTCCAATTCCTGCTGCAATCTCATTTTCTCATCCAACTCTTCGCGCAGCTCTTGCGTCTGTGTTTTGTACAGAGTCTGAAAAAGAGAAGGCAAAAACTATAACTCTCCTTGAAAATTTGAAATTACGGCAATTTTTCATAATGCATGTTTGAAACGTTAGTTTTCATTCATATTCCTTTATTGTCAGATAACAACTAAAATCATATGGAAGGCAAACTTTTGTTATTTACCGAGAAATAAGCTTCAGCTTCCAATTGCTCCTGCAATTCTTTTGTCTGTAGCTGATCGATGTTTCTTTGTGTCTTCAAGTGATGTAACTCCTCGTCTATTTGCCGCTTAGCTTCTCTCAACTGAGCAACCTCTCCGACCAATTGTTGCTCGCGAGCGCGAAGCCTGCCAGCTTCGGACGTTTGCTGGCCTAAGTCGGTCTGCAGAACGTTTCTTTTCTGTTGCTCCTGCTCAACTTGGCCCTGCAGAACCTTGACTTTTTCCATCTCTTGCCTGTGCTCACCCTCTAATTTCTGCAATCGTTGCTGTATCTGTCTGTAATCGACAGAGAGCATTGACGTCTGACGTTCCTTTTCCTGCGCAAGTAATTCCGCACGTTGTCTTCCACTTTTCTCCTCGTTCAGTTTTGCTTGTAGAGCTATTTAATAAATCAACATGCACAATATAAATAACGGTGCAATGCACTTGCTTAAATTCATAGATAGATATTAGAATAAATACGTACGTAAATATATATGCCGTTACAAAAATACGCAGCAATAAGATAAATGAGAAGACAAGTAAAGGATTAGTATGATGAGAAAAATTCAATTTTTATATACATATAAAATTACGTAATTTATTACAGAAAGAAAGGTGTATATATTCGCGAATTACATATATTACCTTTGAAAATTCCATTCTTTTGTCCTGCATCACATCGACAAAATAAAATGTCGACATTATAAAACTTTATAAAAAATACAATGCCTCTATTTCCGTGTAAAACATGAAGCAAGTACCTTTAACAACTTCCAGATTGGCCTCCTCCTTGGAAAGAATGCGCGAACGCTCCGTTTCTTGATGTGCCACAACTTCCTGATTGTACCTGGCTTGCGCGGCTTTCAGTTCCAAAGTTAAACTAGCAGCTTCTTTCTCCAATGCGGAAACCCTTTCGGTTAGTTGCCTATTGTCCAGAGTCGCCTTCTCCTCTTTCTCATGGCTGCGCTCTAACTCGAGATGCAAGGTAGAAAGACGAGTCTCCAATTCCGCCGTTAACAATGACGCTTGCGATCTCGAACTACGTTCCTTGGAAAGTTGGCCCTGTAAAAAGTCAAATAAACATTTTATGTAAAAAAAAAACTTATCTTTGAAACATTTTTTAATTTTAAATTTCAAAAACTATTCTATAAATATTGAAAATTAATGTAATTGTGTAAATACTTATAATTTTTCGAAAATTTACAATAAATTTATAGATACTTATAACATACAAATTTCGAAAATGCCCACACACACACACACATCCAGAAATTATTTAAAATTTCTTTCTTACAATTAACGAGGAAATAAGAAGAAACTAGATTATACCTGAAGAGTGGCAACTTCTTGCTGCAAGTTATCACGCTGCGCTTGCAGCTGAGCTCTGGCAACTTGCAACTCGTTCGCCATTTGCTCGGAGGCTTGGCGCGCCACGGTAATCTCCGTCGCTTGCTTGCGCAATCTCACAACAGTTTCCGTTTCTCTCTCCAATTTGCATTGCATCTCTTTGATTTGCTTCTCCAATGATGTCACTCGCTCGGACGTCTGCTGGGAATTGCTAACATCTCGCGCCCGTCTCGTCTGCTCCTCGTCAAACTTTTTCTTCACCTCCACCAGCAGCGACTCCGCCTTGCGACGAGTCTCCGTCTCGTGCTCCACTCTGCGTTGCGCCTCCTTATAGTTGTGCCTGAGCAATGTCAGCTCCTTATCCGCCCTGCCAACTTCCTCGCGTAGCTCAGCCTCTCGACACGCCATCGCATCCAATTGCGCGTTCAGTGCTTTCTGCCTCGACTCCATCGTTTCTACTTGCCGCCTCTCACGTTCCAGCAAATTCTCTAGCTGCGAGATCTTCACATCGTCAGTAGTACCATTGTTGACATGATTCTCGAGACCGTCCACAGATTCCTTGCCGTAAGAAACCATTAACTGGTAATCACCTGAGTAAGTGAACCCGATAAAGGGCAGATGATTCCCAGAAAAAGCTTTGGGTACTGGAAAACTCTCCTCCGGCCCGTCCTCCTTGTCGACATCGTCGAAATTGCTGGTGTCGTCATCACCGGAAAGCTCGGGCACCACCGGCGGCACGCATTCTCTCAGATTGTCGAAGGTCCACTGATCATTCTTGAAAAACGGATGGCTTTTGATTTCGTCGACGCCGTTGCGACCCAGGCGCTTCGTCCTATCGGTGAGGAAACCGCATATCAAGTTCTTCGCTGAGTGAGATATCTCAACGTTTTGAGGAAAGTATAGCGAATTCCTATGGTCCATGATCTTCGAATACGTCCCGACCAGGGAGTCGGCGAAGAACGGTGTATCGCCAAACAACATCTCGTACAGAAAGACACCCACGGACCACCAGTCGCATTCACGACCGTATACTCCTTCTCCACCTTGAGACTGCAGAACCTCTGGAGATATGTAATCGGGAGTACCGACCGCGGTATCGGACCGCACTAAACCGTCCTGCAAAGCAGACAATTAAGCGTCAGAGAAAAATTTTAACTAGAAAAAGAGAGTTTATATGACACTTTCAAAATCTTTTCTTAGAAATGTTTAACCGCGAATTAATAATTCAGGTATTTATCTTGTTTCAACAAGTCCCAAGAACGCTTACATAAAATGTTCTCTATTAAGATTTCATCGTCCGAGTTATTTCGTGTTAGACGTCGAAAGTGAGAAATAAAAATAGGAGATCGGACTTACAACATCCATCCTCATGCACGTGCCAAAGTCGGCGAGCTTCAAATGACCGTGCCTGTCGAGCAACATGTTGTCCGGCTTCACATCTCTATGAACGAAACCCATATTATGTATCGCGTCCAACGCGAGCACCACCTCGGCACAGTAAAATTTTGCCCATTTCTCCGGCACCTCGTAATTCGACATCAAGTTGACGAGATCCCCGCCCGGCATGTAATCCATCACCATGTAGAGATACTTCTGGTCTTGGAACGCAAAGTGGAGCTGGACTATCCACGGGGAGTTCGCGTGAGCCATTATATCCCTCTCTTCCCAAAAGAATGCGGAATCCGACCTCTTGATCTAAACACGATAAGGTAAAAGCCAGATTAGAGGAAAATATTTACATACGCGGCAAGTAAATGGAAACGGACGTGTGAGTCTCACCATTTCAAATTTACTAAGTAATTTCATAGCGTAAACTTTTTGCGTAGATTTGTGTCTAACCAGCTGCACCTCTCCGAACGCGCCGCGGCCGATTACTTTTATCAAAGTAAAATCGTCCGTGCGCATTCGCATTTTATAAATCTCTTGGGCTACGGAGTCATCTGCAAGAACGGTAAACGGATTATTACTAATCTCGGTGTAGCGCGGCTATTACAGCTTCCAAAAGAATGGCTATCGTGTTTACGATAAACATTGGGACGGTACTCACATCTATTCATATAAGCTTCTATATTTTTCATACGTTTCACGCTCGCGTGATCGCAATCTGTTACCAGGGCCTGAACCGTGTCCAACAAGCAGTCGATATTTGTGACGCTTCTCGGATCCCTTATTTTCTCCTCCAAGGTCCGCAGGCGTCTCCGCCTGTCCTCGTCGCACACCGCATCCATCTCTCCTTACAGGAGCTTGGACTACTGTGCCTCAACAACGTACTGTTTCTGTCGCATTAAAGACTATCGAAACGCAAGGCTAAATGCAGCATTGACTCGGGCGAGGAGTACCTGTGACGCCCGATGGACGCTCCATACTTTCTAAACAAACAAACGTTATAAATATAAATACACAAACGTCAAAGATCTCTCTATAGATAATTACATAAACAATACATAAAATTATAAATTGCAAAATGGTATTGCCAAGGCTCCCTTTACACGCTAGTGGCTAGTGGCGCAAAAATATTTCACAAACATCGCGAGAGGTACGAAAACGGATAATGCGCGGCGCGTTTACGCGACTTGGCAATATTTTCGGTTCTTATGTAATACAAGATATATGAAAGGAACACAACGTTACGACGGCATCGCGGCGCCAAGGTAAAACAAACAAATAGGAACTGCGTTACTCCATACCGCGTAGACGTTCGCGGACCCCCATGGCGCATACGGGTGTCCACGTAAACGTAGCCTCGGAATTGAGCTCGCGACAATAAGGACGTCCGTCGGCGGCGAGACGCGGAGCACAACGAAATATGCAGCGTATCGCTCGACGGACAGTGACTCAGCCGCGCGTAATTTACAAGCGCGCGCGACAAAGCGAGCGCGACCCCCCGACGTCTTCCTCGCGCGGTCGCCCCGCGCGAGAGAGGTTACGTCAACGACGGCGGTTTCGCGACACGGCGACACGTCGTCGTCGAGCGTGTCAAAAGCGCGACACGCGCGCGGCGCGCGCGAGCCTCGCCCGTTCCCTTCCGAGTCGAAGTCGAAAGAGAGCCACGCGGACGTCACGGATGACGCTCGCGCGCGCGTCTCCACTCTCCCGAGGAAAACTTCGGTCACGCGGGGGGCGGGGGGGAGGAACGGAACCTCCGCCTCCGCCAAGGTGCCCCGGGGAACGTCCCGGGCGTATGTACCGCCCGGCGCGGCGCGCGTATACGTACGTACACATACCTCACCGACGTCACCCTACGTCCCGTCGCTGGCGGGCGCTGTCATCCGGACCGCGAGGAATCCCCGGGAGGCACTGGAGGCAGGCGCATTATTCCGCGCGGCGCACGGACGGCGTACGACGCGTACAGCTGAGCCGTGCGTGCGCCATTCGGCCGATTCACAACGGTCGTCGAACGTCGAGAAGCCACCGAAAGAGAATCCGCCTGCGCCTCTCTCTCTCTTTCTTTCTTTCCCACCCGCTTGTCGGCTTCCTACTTACTCCGTCTCTGTCCCTCTCTCTCTTCTGCTCTCTTCCCGTGCGCCTACGGGCCCCTCGCGAGTAAATCGAAGTAACGCGCGCCGTTTTCCGCGCGCGTACGAGAGACAGAGATCCGGATTTCGGCGACGTCGACGGGTCCGCGGGCCCCGGACGCACGCACACACCCCACGTTTCACGTTCACGGCACTTCCGCGGCTTCGAACCCTCGCCTCTCTCTCTCCGCGCCCGCGGGGGACTATCGATCGCCGCGGTGAACGTGTTCGGTTCGGTCTGAAATCAGCCGGAGAGGAGGCTTTGCGCGTTACCGCTATAGCGGCGGAGGAGGACAGGGAGGAGAGAGGGGGAGAGGAGGAGGGCGCGCACTGGCACACGTCGTGTCGTGGAGAATCGTCGAGATTCGAGAACGGAGCAGCGCGGCACGGAGCAAGCGTCAACCGCTTCGAAAAGCGTCGGCTGGCGTCGGCCGTCGGCACGGGCGACTCCGGCGACTCCGGCGACTAGGAGGGGTTGGAGGGGAGGGGAGAGATCGAGCCTCGAACTCGAAAAGGTGAGTAGTGGTGGTGGTGGGAAGGGAATTCTCTTCTCTCTCCTCTCTCGGTCTAAGACCAAGATGGCGTAGCGTTCTACGCTACGACGACGCGCGAGCATCGGTGAGCATCGGAAAGCGACGCGGCGACCGTTCCTCTCCCCCTTGGCTGTCACCTCGCGAATGTGTTTATAGCGCTGTATTTATAGCGCTAACGCGTATCCCAATAGGAAATAGGTGAGTGTACGCTGGTAACGTCATCGAGTACGTACACGCGCGAGCGCGCGTGGGCCGCTTCCTCTGGCACGTGAGCCGATTCTATTCTCTCCCCTGATTTTTGACTTCTCTCCGTTCTCGCGTTGCAGAGCTCCGGAGTACATGTAACGCGAAGATGAGTGTACCCCCCTGCGACTGGCAGATCAGCAAGCAGAAGCTGTCGGAGCGCGGCCAGCATCTGCTGGAGACCGGGCAATGGTCCGACTGCAACTTCATCGTCGGCCAGGAGCCCCAGCAGCAGACGCTCAAAGGGCACAAACTGTTCCTGGCCATGTCCAGTCCGGTCTTCGAAGCTATGTTCTTCGGCGGCATGGCGGAGAAGAACGATCCGATACCGATAAGGGACGTTCAGCCAGAGGCGTTCAAAGCCTTACTGGAGTACATATATACGGACAAGGTCGAGCTGGGTTCCTTCGAATTGGCCTGCGAATTGTGCTACTGCGCCAAGAAGTACATGCTACCGTCTTTAGTAGAGGAGTGCACAAAGTACCTGTGGTCTGATCTCTCGCCGAAGAAAGCTTGTAGAGCGTACGAGTTTGCCAAGCTCTTCGAGGAACCTGTGCTGATGGACAAATGCCTGCAGATCATACACACCAGGACGGACGAGGTGCTGAAGGAGTCCAGCTGGGAGGACGTCGAGCTCGGGACGCTTCTCAAGGTCTTGGATCAGGACGCTCTGCAGATCAGCTCGGAGATTGAGTTATTTAGCGCGCTGGAACGATGGGCCAAAGCGGAATGCTCTAGAAAGTCTCTCGATCCGACCAATGGAAAGTCACTCAAGTCCGTCATTGGAAATGCCCTCCTAAAGATCAGGTTTCTGAGCTTGACGCCGCAGGAATTTGCGGAGGGTCCCGGTATGTCACCGCTGGTCACGAAAGACGAGGCTTTGGCTATACTGATGAACATCCTGTGTACCGGCAACAAGACACCTATGCCCGAAGGTTTCTGCACTAATTCCAACAGCAGGGCAAAACTGGTCAAGCAACCTCATCCCGCAGTTTTCGGTTCCACGAATACAGGAGTAAGTTATTTATGGCCCCTCCACGCGGGACGTAGAAACGCTTGCTGTGCGGCAAGGGCAAGGAGCAACGCGGTAGCCAATCGAAGTCAAGGCTATGACGCCAACTTCTGCCGCGCGGCAAACGTTACCGCGTCCCATGTACAGGAGCCATTAGACTTTAGACGATTCTGCTTGCGATCTTCCATATCCATGACGATTTTCTTCTATGTTTTGATTCAGTTTTTTCTCTTATTAATTTTGATTACATGTTTTTTTTTATGTCACATCTTCAGTCACCACTCTTTGGTCAATCAGTATATAATCTGAGATATGATTGGCCCTATACCCTTTGGCCCTGGCCCTCCAGTTTATCGAGCGGTAGCCCAAGGGCTACCAATGAAAGTCAAGGCTATGACTTCTGTCGCATGGAGCTATTAAAGATACGAGATAGTATTGATCGATATCTTACCGATCTTGCCGCCTTCGATTTCCCCGCTTATGAAGCGCTATTAAAGATACGAGATAATATTGATCTCGCCGTATTGTCTTCGATAATCCGCGGTAGCGATCAATACCCAGATAACGTGCATGATGCATAAGACGTCATAAAGATACCTTTAAGACAACTAAGATATCTTAACATATCTTTAAGATATCTCTTAGATATCTGCAAGACCTCAATGTTTACTGGGTAGAGTATATACTTGCCCGCATGCTTTCCGGCAGCTTGCGCAAGAACGAAAATGCGCAGAACTCACTCTGTTAAGGAGGGTCCACATTATCGAGCAAAACCGCGAGCCGAACTTCGCCGCGAACCGATCATGCGTCCACATTATCGAGCCGAACCGCGAGCCGAACTTCGTTGCGAGCCGATCATGCGTCCACATTGTCGAGCCGACGGGCTCGCACGAGGCTCGCGAACCTCGAATCGAACATCAGTGCGAACCATCGCGTACTCATTCCACGAATCTGCAAGGATTTTGATGATACGCGGTTTGGCTCGCAGTGTCCCACCAAAAGTCGGTATTTCGACGAAACATCAAAAGATGCTTTTTATGATCAGATTATACGCTTTGTCGGGTGGTAGACTGGTAGTTAAGCTTCGATCTAGACAAATAATGACAAAAAACAAAAAATGAACTATGAAAGAAAACGTGAGTAATTGCCCAGTCGCTGTATTTGATTCTATCCACGTATGTGCAGTCTACACGACTACTGATAGACAAAATGGAATGGTCTGATAAAAAATGTTTAAAATTAAATAGTGATTATAAGCAGAAAAGATTATTATATACGGGACGCTAAAAATCCCGAACATTATAACAATTAAAAAAATGCATATTTATATTTACAATCGTATTTTTAATGTTGCAATATATATTATAAATTTATTGCGTATTTATCATAGATTTAGAGTATGTTTATGCAATATTAAATATAGTTGGTACCACTCTAAATATAGTTTTATGGTTTGAAAAGGAATTGCTTTGAATACAAGAAAATAATAAAAGCACGCATATGTATACACATATTTAGTCGTCTTTTCCTGTTCTCATACTTTTTTTATAAGAAGAAATAAGTAAAGAACTCGAATGTGATAGTGACATGTGCAAAAAAAAGATGACGACATTATTGGCATCTCTGCAAAGAGAAAAAGCAAAAATAAAAAAAGTATGGAAACAGGAAAAGGTGAGTGAATATATGTATATGTGCTTTTATTATTTTCCTGTATTCAAAACTTAATTCCTTTTCAAACCATAAAACAAAATTTAGAATTAATATTGCATAAACATACTCTAAACCTGTGATAAATACGCAATAAATTTATAATATATATATTGCAATGTTAAAAAATACGATTGTAAATATAAATATGCATTTTGCATACATGTATTAAGAATTTATATAAATTTTATTATAAATTTCAATACGAGATTTGACTTCAAAAAATTTTAACTCATGTTCGCGGTTCGCGATGGAGTTCGATTTGAGGTTCGTCTGCAAGTTCTGCTCGAGGTTCGGTTCGGGACTCGGTTCGCGGTTTGGCTCGATAATGTGGACCCTCCTTTACGAGTCGCCCTCGGAGTTCGGAGTCACACCACCCAGATAGTCATATGTCAGCATATTGTCTGCACAATAACGAAATTTTAAATTGAAAATGGTTGCATAGATATTCAAAAATGCGTCCTCATATGACGCGAATGTTATCAGCAAATGAAAGAGGTCTTCTGATGCTGTAAAAATTGCAGCAATATGCTGTTCATTTTGTCAGAAACAGCGCAATGGATTCGACATTATTGGAGCAATAAGAAATGACCATGTTGACCAAAATCAAAATAATAACCGATAATACTAAAATAACATTGTGTTAAAATAAGAAAAATAATTAACAAATCGTAACATATTGCATGAGTAATTAATTTAATTTGTAGGGAATGACTGCGCATGGGAATCATCGGAAACTGGTCATAGGCCTCGGCCTCGCAAAAGCCACAACACGACCAGAGAGAAGCATGAGAAACACAATAACGACGGTTTTCGTGGGATTTCGCCACTGACGTTTACTAGGCTCGTGCTTCTCTCTGGCATGACACGTCGGGCGGATTCACTAAGGCCCGGTCTACAATCAGTCGTATGTCGGAGTCGGATGTCGCAACCAGAGAGAAGAATGAGAGACGACACGGCCTGGTTTTAGGTGATCCGCGAACGCGATACGCCCTCTGGGATCGACGTAAAACGTGCACATGAACTACGTAGCCACCGTCCACGTTTGGGCCACGGGGTAACACATACGTGCACGATTTAGGTTGCGTTCCGTGCTAATGTCGGTAACGCAAAGTTATTGATTTTTCGTTATGTGAGCGAGCGAGAAGGTATAAGAGTGAGCGAGATGACAATAAGAGCGAGCGAGACAGTAATTGGAGTGAGCGAGATGAGAATAACACATGCAGAAGGCTCGGGGGTGGGGATCTGATCGAGGATCGAGCATCGAGTCTTTTCCTTGCGCGCCGTTGTTCTTACCTCGAAAAAAAAAAAAAAGTGGTAGTATTATTACATCGAAAAAACCTAAGTAACAAGTGGTAGACGTAATCTTTATATCTCAAAAAATCTTGAAAAAATCTAAGCAGTAGTATCTTTATTTCCGAAAAATTATAACCCTGTGATACACATCACAAAATTATGTTACCTTATCAAAAAGAAGAGTCGCGCTTTAAGTGATCTATTACAATTACAAAAAAGAAATGATATCTCTTTAAATTACAGCGCCAATTACAGAGAGAACATATATATTGTCTCAAAAAATAATTGTTGCACTACTTCGAAAAATCTTTACATTGTGTCAATTAGAAAATAATGTATGATAACAATTTTATAAGATTAAAAAATTTTATTTAAATTTAA